GCTCCAGGGCATGACCCCGATCGCGCACGGGCACGGCGGCCGGGCCGGCGCTGCCGAGGTCCATCAGCACGGTGCGCGGCGTGGCGCCTGGACGCGCCTCCATCAGTAAATTCTGCGGCTTCACGTCCCGGTGCGACAGGCCCGCGGCGTGCACCGCCTCCAGCGCGGCGCACAGCTGGATGAAGATGGAAAGCACGGTGCGCAGGGGCGGGGGCGCTGCGGCACGGTGCACCGCATCCCACGCGGACCCGTGCTGCGTCGTGGGAGATCCCGTAGGGGCGGTAAGGTTTGGTGAGGCCGGCGGTATTTTCTCCAGCAGCGTGCAGCGTGGGGCCTGCTCTGAAAGAGTACTACATGCCAAGCACATCTGCTCAGCTTGCCCGAAGCAGGGGCCTCGATACCTTCATCATGTTGGCAGCGGTGTTCCCCAACGCCTCCCCCTCTCACAACCGACCCCCCCACCCACCCCCACCCCGGCCGTCTTGCCTGATATGCTGGGATGAGGAGGAGGGCGGCCCTGCGCGGCCCCGAGGGCGTGTCCACGTCGGTCACTGTGCTTTCCAGCAGGCGGATGATGTTGGGGTGGGCCAGAGACTGCAGCAGGCGGACCTCTGCCGCCGCCCTCTGCTCCTCTTCGGGCCCGGCCAGGAAAATCTGAAAGGTTGGGTGGGTGGGAGAGGGAATCCCTGGGGCAGGGGGTGCACGGAGATCTGTGCGGGGAGATAGAAATCAGGTGCTCCTGGGGGTGCACTGGACCTCCTGCCTTTTCTCATCCTGGCTCGCAACAGTGTTCCACACCTGCTTGAGTGCCAGGTCCGGCCCTGGCGGCTCGGCGGGAGCTGTCCCAAGATCTCCAGTCCTCTCGCTCAGCTCCCGTACGAGGTACACGGTGGAGTAGCCTCCCTCCCCGAGGGTGCGGATCACCCTGTACCGCTTGGGGCCCAGCTGGATCACATGCTCTGGTGACAGCCTGGGCAGCAGAGTGACGACGCGCTCCTCCAGCTGCGTCAACTGGGGATACTTCTCGGTCAGGGAGCTCCAAGCCCCTCCCACGCTCTTCAAAAATCCATCCATGACGTGCCCGCCGCTCCCTGGGCCGACCAAGCGGGTGTGGGCGGGTGTGGCCAAACCCCACCAGGTGACAGTGCTGACCAGCCTGGTTTAATGGTCGTTGAAAGCTGCCAGTCCTTGGCAAATCATTTCTGCTTTGGAAATCAGTAGTGTAATAATTACCTCCCCTCAGAATCGCCCGCTCCGGGGGATGCACCACAATAACAATTGTGAGCGACTCGTTCGTCGATCTTCAGATCTCGCGCCCGAGCTGGGGGGCAGCCCTGCCCCAGCCAACGGGGATGTGAACCGCATTTCCGCTGGCGAGTCGGGCAAGGATCAACACTGCGTGAATCATGTGCGTAAGTCTAACGTAGTCTTGGTGCTGCGCGGCCGCCTCTTCCTCCAGGAGAACCGCCACAGCCGGCCTGCGCAGTGGTAGCTCCCCCGGCACCTGCCTCACGGGCAGGGTGGCCGGCGCGATGATCCGGTCCGCCGGAATGACTTGGGTGGACAGATGGCTCCGAAGAAGATCCAATAGAGCCTTGCTAGCGGCCGTGGTTCTGCTGCCCTGCCTCATATACCTGAACTCCGCGGTGCTGCCGGAGGTGCCCCAGCAGGCGGTGGAGGAGGTAGATCCCGGGGAGACGCACACTGAGAATGTGGAAGGTGAGGCAGGGGGAGGGTACCTGTTTCAATCACTGGCATATGAGCGCTCCTGCTGTCCATCAGGCTGCCTGCCTGGTGACGTGCATGGTGAGACCTGGCAGCCAGAACCAAACCCTCATCCCTGCCCCTGGCGACAGATCATGGCACCAACAGGAATACAGAGCGAGCCCAGGATCGAGTTGCCCTGCAGGGGCAGACACCAATCACGCTGGCCAGCGAGGCGGACGTGGCCGGGCCGAGCAGGCTGGCAAAGTCCCCTCCCCCGGCCCCCTCCCCTTCCCCACGCCGACGCACCTGGCCCCCCCTCCCGCCCCCTCCCCTCCCCAGCCCGCCGCCCGCCGGCGACCCTCCCCCCGGCTCCCTCCCCTTCCTGCTGCCGCGCTGCACCGACGGGAATGCGCAGTGCGACGCTTGGCACGGCATGGGCGAGTGCGTCCGCAACCCGGGCTACATGTACTACAACTGCCCGCGCAGCTGCCTGGTCTGCAACGTCACCTACCTGGACACGGTGCCGGAACAGGTGGAAATCGCGCCCGGCGTCTGGATGCCCACCATCGGGTTTGGCACCGCCGGTCTGGGGGACGCCACTGCAGAGGCCGTCGCCTCCGCCCTGGCAAATGGGTACCGCCTGCTCGATTCGGCGCAGGTGTGGGAGGGGAGGTGGGAGAGTGTTTCAGGGCTAGTGGCATGGGGGGATGAAGGGTGGGGGAGACTGAGTGGGGGACGGGGATTTTGATCCTGGCCGGTGAAGACGAGAGGTCGCCTGCTGCCAAACCCCAGGCTCCTGGAAGGGTATTGTGTGTTCCCCTCAAGGCATGCACTGGCAGCTGTCGGGAAGAGCGGGTTTTCTCTTGGGCACAGAAGATCATGCATGAACGTCCCTCCTCTTCATGTGATCTCCTATGTCACTCCCTGGGATGAGCATGCTGCGCTGTCGCATCGGCCCCCCTTCCCCCTCCTGTGCGGCAGCCTACCACTTCCCAGTCCGCACTGTTCGTACATGTCCGCGGGAGTCCTCTTCGCAGAGGCACACCCCCTCTCTGTCATTGGCGGCGCAGGGGGAGGGGCCTAGCTGAGCACCTTTATGACCCCCTTTCTTTCCGTGGGCCCTCTTTTCCCCATGGAGGCCCGACTCCCCAGGCATGAGCCCCCTCCTTGGCCCCCTGACCCGGCTTCTCCCACAGTCTGATCCAGCGACATCCCTCTTCCCTGAGACCACCCCAGCACCCACCTCGTAACCTTGAATTTCCCCCCCTTCCTGGACCCCCCTCCCCCTCCTCTCAGGCCCGCGAATGGTACCGGGAGGACCTGGTGGGCGAAGGCCTGGCGGCCAGCGGCGTGCCTCGCTCCCAGGTGTTCCTCACCTCCAAGCTGCACCCGCGCAACCTGGGGTACTGGAACACGCTGTCCATGGTACGCCAGTCGCTGGCCGACCTGCGCACCGACTACCTGGACCTGTTCCTGCTGCACTACCCCGACTGTGGCGCAGGGCTCTGCCCCGGCCTGAACCCCGAGGGCACCTGGCAGGACTCCTGGGCGGCGCTGGAGGAGCTGGCGGCGGAGGGCCTGGTGCGCGCCATCGGCGTGGCCAACTTCGACGTGGTGCAGCTGGAGGCGCTGCGCCTGGCGGCGCGCACGCCGCCCGCGCTGGTGCAGACGGGCATGGAGCCGCGCGACCCCGGCGCGGCGGTGCGCGCCTGGTGCCGGCGCCACGGCGTGCGGCACCAGGCCTACTCCAGCCTGGGCACGCAGCGCGGCGCCGCCGCGCTGCTGGGCCACCCGGTGGTACGCGGCGTGGCGGCGGCCCACGCCGATGCCGGCGCCACGCCGGCCCAGGTGTTGCTGGCCTGGGCGCTGCGCCACGGCTCCGCCGTGGTACCGCGCTCCGCCTCGCCCGCGCACCAGCGCGAGAACCTGGCCGCTGCGAGGCTGGCCCTGAGCGCCGCGGAGATGCAGGACCTGGACGGCCTGGACGGGGCGTGATGGCGCGAGGATATCATGCCGGCAGTATGCTTCCTCCTCCCCTGTCAACTTGTGCATACAGCAATGAGAGGGAGCGAGGGGGGGGGTGGAGCAGGGTACAAGGTGGGCCAGTGTTGGCAGAGGAGCGGAAGCGTGGAAGCATATGCAGACGCGGCTGGAGAGCCAGTCCGTGCGTGGATGCTGGGAGAATCTTTGAGTCCATTTAGCGCTGTGCGGGACGCCGACGGCCATGCTCCAGGGGTAAAAGGAGCTGGGGCCGCCCATCAGGCAGACGCAGCGACGGAAGCCTCCTCCTCGGCGGCCTTCTTGGCTGCTGCAGCCTTCTCCGCAGGAGTCTTCAGCAGGTCGCCGTACCGCTCCATGATGCGGGCCATGCGCGCGCCCTCCACGCTGATCCCCGTCTCCTCGCCCGTCCAGAAGGGGTGAGAGGTAGTGTCCTGCACAGGGAGTGGGTCCATAATTGACAGCGGGTGCGGGAGTTGTCCAGCGCGCTATGGCAGTCGGTTGAATATACCACTCCAAGTTCCACTCACCACTTGGAGCTTCCAGGGCGTGTGCCGGTTCAGGACCGTGCTGGCGCGGAAGCTGGAGCCGTTGCGCAAGACCACGGTCATCGTCCGCATGAGGGGGTGGATGCCCTTGCGCGCCATCCTGGCAAGGACACCACACTCGACAGACCGACGCTGTTGATGCTTTGATGTGAAGTTGATAAAATGTGCGTGCGTGTGTCCAGAGGCTGCGATGGTCCCGGCCCGTGGGCCAACCCACGCTGGGCGTGCTGTGCACAAGGGCTGCACCACCCTCCCAGCGCATCGAGCATCTCATCACACCACCCTGGCCCCTTCTCTACAGCTTGGTGAGTCGCTTTCACATACCGCCTGTCAGGTTCAGATCAAAAACACAAAGGGTTGGGGGTGGGGGGGGTTGGCACAGATACAACATGATTTGCAAAATGCGCGCCGCCGGGCGATAGCTCCGGCGGATCACCTTGTGAACCAAGCAGGAGAGGTGCCCCCACTAGAGCATGCCGTTAACAGCCTCCCAGGGGCGGGAGGGGGTGGTGACAGCAGCAGGTACGATGGGATGGGACGGAGCAAAAAGCAGGGGGGGTGCCCGGGCGTGGGCAGGGAGAGCACGGGACCCCCTCCACGCCACCTCCTCCCTGTGTGGGAGGGGCAGGTCGTGGGGTCGGGGACGCCGCGGCCCCCCAGACCACGCGCATGGGCGGATCAGGCAAGGCATACTACTGTTCGAAAGGTCGGTGCGCACTCAGTTGGGGCCCCAAGGGGCCGCCATGTGGGGGGTTCAGTAACCGCCCTGCTGGCCGTAGCCCTCCTGGCCGCCACCGTAGCTGTGGAGGAGAAAGGGGAGTGGGGGGAGGGGGAGGGATTTGATGGTAGGTGTGCGCGATTCCAAGACACGCGAAGACTGAAGGGTGAAGTGTGGGATTGCAATCCAAATCGCTGTCTGCAGTGATCACTCGCTCGCCCCCCTGCTCACCCGCCCTGCTGGTAGCCACCCTCCTGTCCGTATCTGTAGAGTCGAGAGATGATGTGCAGAGGTGAGTTTATACTGGCGTTGGCAAACAGGCATGGGCTGGCACTGCAACATATCAATGGACATGGAAGCTGCCGACCATGCTGGAGAGCCCCACGCCCACATGGCAGCAGGCCACCGCCCTTACCCGCCACGGTTGTAGCCGCCGCCGCCGCCGCCGCCACGGGCACCGAAGCCACCACCGCGGCCGCCGCCAAAGCCACCGCCGCCGGCGGAGTAGCCACCGCCGCCACCGCCGCCGAAGCCGCCGCCGCCGCCCTGCTGGAACTCACGGCGGGGGGCACCCTGCGGCGAGCACGGGGTCGTGGGAGAGGGGATCGGACACAGGGTCGCAGACGTACAGGACAATCAACTTGCCGCTTCTCTGCTGCAAATGAAAAGTGAAGCTGGCGAGGTCTCGGGTATGCGCTCAAGGGCCCACCATTCATGCGAGCTCCAATCTGGCCCCCTCACCTCGGGCGCGGCGCCATCGGGGCCGGTCACCTGCACCGCCTTGGCGCGGCCATCGTCGGAGTTCTCGACGAAGAACTCGACGGGCTCTCCCTCCTTCAGGGAGCGGAAGCCGTCAGTGATGATGGCGGTTTGGTGAACAAACAGGTCCTCACCACCTGCTGGGAGGGCGATCAGTGGGGAGGAAATCAGGCATGGGGTCATCCCATGCCCACAGGACACCACGCACAAACGTCCCGATTCGCACCCTGGTCGGGGGTGATGAAGCCGTAGCCCTTGGTGACATTGAACCTGAGGGGATCGAGGGAGCGGGCCTCTGAGGGTTGGTGGGCACGGCAAGAGCCGCGGATCAGGGAGCGTGTGCACGTCCTCGACCGACCGCACAAACCCCGGGCTTTCAGGGTATCCCTATCGACGTGTCGCTGATACCAAGCCGACGCTCACCACTTGACGGTTCCGGAGGACTTGGCGGCAGCGGCCATCGTGACTTGATGCCGGCCTGCGGAGGGGGTTGAGGAGCCATGAGCAGGGGCCTGCGGACCTCCAACCTCACTGCAGGCACGTGGTGGATGGATTTGGGGCAGTTCAGGGTGATCCTGCTGGCCGGACCCGAGTACAGCAAGCTCTATCCCCGTGCTTACGAAGTGCGGGCAAGATGGGCCTTGTGAAGGAGAGACGCTGGAGCAGCATGCAAGCACTGGAACAGACCGTTGCAAAGAAGCAAGGCCGATGTAATGGATGAGAGCTGTGGGCCGCCCCACGGTCGTGTTGCAATAGTTGGCTGCGGGTCTGGTCAGATGGTGGCGGGAAGGTTGTGGGGGAAGCTCCTCACTTGACCACGGTTGTATACGTTGGCATCCTTTTGAGGTGGAAAATCGCCCCCGAGCTCATGGGTTTGTCCTTCAATGCTCTTCCTTTTCCGCGAGATCCATCGGTTCCCTCCCATGTGATGGCTCGGGCCTGGTCTGATGTGTCGGGGACAACTCAGATCGGGTCGGAAGATACGCCGAGATACACATCCGACATCCCTGCCGGCTAACCCTGCCTAGGGCAGTGATATCAAACACTCACTCAGGACCTCATAAGGCTTGCATCTTCGCCTATCAAAAAGAGTATGACCCAAACCCTATGTATTATGGAACTCTGACAGAATGTCTCACCACGGAGCAGGTGGTGCAGCGTTTACCGCAATCACCAAGCCAGTATTCTTCTCGTATGTGGCTCTCTGATAGCTCTAGTATGGCTTTCTCATGGATTCTCGTGGAGTTATTACCTTTGGTAGATTCTATCCTTGTTTGTTCAGGGTGTCGTTGAGAGTGTCTGATGGGAAAAGCCTTCCCTGTCAGCGCGCGGGATGGGGGACAGCATTCTGCGCTGGTGAATTCGAAACCCTCAGCGAGATGTGCATCAAGATGGATAAGGAGACTGCACATGTCGGATCACTGCAACAAGCGCGTGCCGGACCACGACTGCAGTGGCTCGCCGCGTGGCGTTCGCAGGGGTCGGAACACAGGGCACCGGAACCCCCTCGAGATCAAACGGGAGCGCGGCTCAAGGGATCGCCCATTCCAGCACCTCTCCTTCGTACCCAACACTTTCTCGCGCTGGGAATAGACTCGACGTGCCTCAGGCAAGCAGGAATTCCCCACAGACATCGGGAAGCCTAGGTAGGTACAGTCTGTCCTTCCGACACGTTCTGGGCAGACGCGTGCCCCTTGGACGGTGTCGAGGGCTCTACTCGTTGTGAGGGAGGAATCCCCCGTGCGTCGCGCATGGCGCACGCGATGGCCTCGCAGGCCTGCACAGCCAAGGTGCCAGCCATCTCCAAGCGCATGGCAGCCACAGATCACCCCCCCATCTCCAAGATCCTGACGCATATCGCTGCCAGTGGCCGCGACGTCCTCACCCTGGCACAAGGTTTGTGGGAATACCTGACCAGACATCAGACACTGGGTGCGGCACGATCGACGCCTGGGCTCGCATCTGTGGATGGCGAGGCGCACTCTCGCTGTGTTGGGCCGGGCGCGCACCCCTGCCGCCAGCTGCCTCCACCCCCTGCCACCATGCCCCACCAGGCATCTCGCACTGGGGCCCACCCCCCGCCTGCCTCGAAGCCGCCCGGCAGGCGTCCAGTGAGCCAGAGACATACGCCTATGGGCCGGATGAGGGCTTGCCAGAGCTGCGACGGCTGCTGAAGGAGAAGGTGGAAACGCAGAATGGCCTGGAGGGGGTGAGCGGGCCTCCCTTGGTGCTGGATTGCTTCTGAGGGGCTGTGTGACCTGGATGGCCAACCGGCATGCTGTGTGTGGGGGGTTGGGAGGGGTATCTTGGTGTCGAACAATGCGTTTCAGACTGCCCAGCGCCGTCCCGGGCAAGGGCAAGGATTCGAAGTGGGCGGAGGAGAGATTGGGAGGCTCTCCGATTGACTGCACTGCGCAGTCCATGCTGCCCTGTCTCCTGCTCAGTGCCCCTTCCCTGCCTTCCCCCCCCAACAGTACGATGTGGTGGTCACCCCGGGGGCCAACCAGGCATTCATGAACGTCGTGCTGGCCACGCTAGACCCCGGCGACGGCGTGGTCCTGTTCAAGCCCTACTACTTCAACCACCACATGGCGCTGCAGGTGGGGGAGGGCAGCAGGCATGCGTGTTGGCCCGGGGTTGGAGCAGGGGGTTGTATTCCGTCACAGCAGCAGTCAACACAAGCAATACTTGCGAAACACCCCTCCCAACCGAGCCAAAAATCCATCCGCCCCCCCCCTTTCCCTCTATGCCCAGATGACGGGGTTGGGCCCTTCTATCGTGTACGGCCCCTGCACGCCCGAGCACCTCCACCCCGACCTGGACTGGCTGGAGGCGGCCCTGGCCCGCCCCTCCCCGCCGCGCATGGTGGTGCTGGTCAACCCCTGCAACCCAACCGGCGCAGTGCTGGCGCGTGGGGAGCTGGAGCGCGCGGCGCGGGCCTGCGCAGCCGCCGGAGCCTGGCTGGTGGTGGACGACACCTATGAGGACTTTGTGTTTGGGGGCGAGGCCCACTGCGCGGTGGCAGGGCCGCACGTGGTGCACCTCTTCTCCCTCTCCAAGGCGTACGGCCTCGCCGGGTGGCGCGTGGGCTACGTAGCGCACGGCGCGGGCCCCGCCCTGGCCTCGGCCCTGCTCCGCGCGCAGGACACCATGCCCATCTGCGCGGCGCAGGCCAGCCAGCGCGTGGCGCTGGCCGCGCTGCGCTGCGGCGGCCGGGCCTGGGTCGCGGGGCGGGTGCAGGCGCTGGCGCCGGGGCGGGAGGCGGTGCGCGCCGCGCTGGCCCGCGCGCTGGGCGACGGCGCGGTGAGGGGCCAGGGCGCCATCTACTTCTGGGCGCGGCTGCCGGGGCGCGCCCCGGACGATGAGGCCTTTGTCGCCTGGGCCATTCGCCGCCACGGCGTCAGCGTCGTGCCGGGGTCTGCGGCGGGGAGCCCAGGCTTCATCCGGGTCAGCTACGCCAACGCGCCGCCGGAGACCATCGGCGCGGCAGCAGAGAGGCTGGAGCGCGCGCTGGTGGAGTTCGCGGCGTGCGAGGGCGGGGAGCTGCCCCAGGGTGCGGCCTGAGCTTCTGAGATGGGGAATTGGTGGGGTCCGGTGGCGCTGAGTTGGAAGGGGTGCAGCGATTATTTGCACTGTTGAGTTGCTTGGTGGAATCTATGGTGTCGAATCCCGAGTACTAGAGTCGGCGAGGGGGGCGGAGGAGGGCTTGGGAAGTGTGCATGGGTGCAGCCGCATTGGGGGGCAGGGGTGGGCGCATGGGCGATCCCAGCGGCACCATGCACATTGCCATGCACGGGGCGGGGCATGCCCCTTTGAGAGTATGCAGCAAAGACATTAAAAGCAGATCGGAGTCTGCTGGCAGGGCAGTACCTCAGCCCTTCGATTCATCAATGAGCTGAGCCTGGAAATTCAAACGGCTGCCTGCCTGTCACCTCCACGTGGGGCGGGCGCGCAGAAGGCACCCGATGCGCCCGGACGGGAGGGGGGTGTTCCAAACAGCCGCACAGCCACCCCTGGGGTGCCTGTAGACAGTGCACGGCTCCATTCGCCACCATTATGGACGGCACGGCGTATGTGATGCGGTCTCCAAAGGGCCTAACGTAGTGAGAACCTCTTGCGCACGTGCCGCACTCCCCCGGGGGTCCCTACCACCGACCGGCCCGGGGTATCATGAAACTCCGGCCCGACCTCACACGATGGGGGAAGGCGGTAGAGAGTTTCTTGGCAGGCTATCGCATCGAGCACGTCGTGCTGGCTCTCCAGGTGGGCTTACATGGCACGGCCACTGGACCAGTGCAGCGGACGCTGAGCACCCTGTCGAGGCTGGATGGCGCATGCGCAGCCTGATGGGTATTTCAAGCGTAGCATTGGTCCCAGTTCTTGAAAGCAAGTTCCAATCCCCCTTGTCGCACGCGCAGATGTTTATCTGCATCATAGTTGCCATGCTGCCTGTGCTGACAGACCGTGCGTCGGGGGCCGGGGATGGGGTCCTGTGTGGAGTCTGGTCCTGCATGCCAAGGAGTTTGGGGCAGTTCCGTCGACCTATGGTCCTGTTGGGTGGGCCTGCCCTCTCCTGCCCCTTTCAATCAGCCCTTGAAGTGCAGCTGCCTGTGATCCCCAACCCCCACCTCCCTTCAACCCCATCCCTCTCCCTCGGTTCCTCCCCGCTCCAGGCGCGTACCGCGACCTGGACGAGGCTGCCACCTTCTGGACCGTGATCGCCGCAGCAGTGGTGCTGGAGCCCTGCACCGGCAACGTGCTGCGAAAGTTTGTGGTGCGCATGCTGGCCGTCGGACTGGCAACATCCATGGGCGTGCTCGTGCTCTACATCTCCTTTGCCATCTGCCACACCGAGCCGGACCAGGCGCCCCGCAACTTCCCGCTCTTTGGCCACATGGTCAGCATCGGCCTCGCCTTCTGCGCGTGCGTGCGTTGTCGTGGATGGGTGTTGGGTGGGGATGGGGGAGGCAGAGGGGCCTGAGGCACATCGTCAATCCCCTGTGCGCCCCTGCCGAAAGTGGGATGCACAGGGGCATACATGGCAGGTTCTACTTGCCTGCAGCATATGAATCTGGGGCGCGCTCGTCGCGGAGTCCAAGCCACACAACCGGGAACCGTGCGGGGACGCACCCTGCAGCTCACAGGGGACTTCCCCACCTGCCTCCCTCTCTGCCCCGCGCAGGGCCCTCATCATGTTGCATCGCCAGCGCTGGGCGCAGGAGTACGAGTACGCTTTCTTCCTGTCCCTGCTGTCCCTCTGCGTCGTCACGGTGCCTGCCCTCAGGTGGGGAATTTGAGTGCAGAGCTCACAGATCGCGGCTGGAGAATGGTGTTGCTGGCACCATGTGTCTTGTCCCTCTGCTAGGCATACTTTGGAGACGTGAGTCTCACATGTACTCCTTCCAAGCCCATGGGTTGCTGACCGCTCGACCTCACCCCACCGTCCCCACCCCTGTCCACTCACCCCGCCGCCACAGGCAGACGCCCGGCGACGCGCTGTCGGATGCCGGCTACCGCGCGCTGAACATCGTCATCGGCGTGGCCATATCGGCGGTCGTGGCGTTCGCCATCTTCCCCATCAAGGCGCGATCGCTGCTGCGCAAGCAGACGGCCGTGGCGCTGATGCAGGCGGGGGATCTGGCCGCATGGGTCTTCACCCAGGTGGGCGTGGAGCCCACTGCCAAGGACTCCAACGCCCTGCCCCACGCCAGCGGCACGGACAAGAGCATGTGGGTCTTTGGATTGTCTTGTGGGGTCTGGGGTCATGGAGGGGAATGCATGTGGGGCCGAGGCGAAGGTGGTTGGGCGGCACCGCAGTTCCAAATGGTGCCACGGACCTTGGGCTTGCAGGGTCCACCCGTGCTCGCCAGTGGCCCGACATGCCCTGCCTGCATCAATGAAATCCATGCGGGCAACCCGCACGACCACATCCACCCATGCAGGAGGTACATCGACGACGGGCTGCAGGTGGAGATGGCGCCGCTGTTTGCCGCCACGCAGCGGCTGGCGGTGAGCCTGGCGGGGCTGGACGACCTGCTGCGCTCTGCACGCGCGGAGGTAAACCTCTTCTCCAGGCCCCACCGCTTCCCCAGCAAGACCTACGGGTGAGGCGATTGGGTGGGTGGGGAGTGGGGGGAACGCAGTGTGCCGGGGTCGATGCCTGTCCCGGGAAATGGTACCCCGCCAGCAGCAATCCCCTGGGACCTGAAATGCGGGATGACTCGCCTGCACCTGGCACGGGCCCGCCGACATGAACATCCCCACCCTCCCTCGCCACCGCAGCGCGCTGCTCTCCAGCCTGCACACGAGCGTGGGCCTGCTGCAAACCCAGCTCTACTTCATGGCCACCGGCAACTTCAGCCTGGGCGCCATCCGGCACCACGCCGGCCCCATCTGCGACGCCGGGGTCCAGCTCTCCATTGTGTTCAGCGCCCTCAGCCGGCTGTCGCACCAGCGGCGCACCTGGCGGCAAAGGCTGCGCGCCCTCGCCCGGCCCCGGGAGTGGGGCTGGTTTGCGGCCGGCCGTGCCGAGGCGGCGCGCTCGTCCGAGCGGGCGCGGGACGCGGACGCCGAGGCCGCGGTCGGCGGCGGCCCTGCCGGCGCGCCGAATGGGGCGGCCGCCGGGTCAGGCACCAGGTCGCCGCGCGCCGCCTTCCAGCGATTTGCCACGCTACGCCGAGCGGCGAAGAATGACGAAGCAGAGGAGGAGGGCCTGGGCTGGGCCCGACCCGAGGACCTGGACCGGGTGGTCGGCGACCACGCGGCAAGCAGCCGCGCGGCGGCGCACGGCGCGGCGGGCAGCGCGGCGGGCGGCGGGGCGAGCGGCGTGGCCCGCGCCGTCGAGGATGACGACCCGTTTGCTGGGATGGACTCCGATGACCCCGAGGAGGGCGGCGTGGCCTCCCGCATCCAGATGTCCCCCAGCCAGATGCAGGACATGCAGGCTCGCCTGCAGCGGCTCTCCCTCGCGGAGCCCGGGTGGGGCGCGGACGACGGCGCTGCGCAGGGCCCCGAAGTCGGCGTCGGGGGGTGGGCGGGCGCGCGCCGGGCCTCGCCGGCGGCGCCGCCAGGAATCGACCCCGCCGGGTCCAACTCTGCAGCGGCCGGCGCTGCGGGCACCCGACCCCAGCCTCCCCCCCCGTCGCGGGACAGCTCCGCTGGCGCCCTGGCCCCCCTCCCCGCCCGCCTGCTGCAGCTGCACCACCTCAGCCTGGGCCTGCTGGAGGCGGGCCAGGCGCCGCATGACACCCTGGGCGCAGCCTCCCTGGTGCAGGTGGCCGGGTGCCTGCTGGGGCTGACGCGCCAGGGCGCTGCCATCCTCGCCGTCCTGGAGCCGCAGTCGGCGGGGGCGCTGCACGCGCGCATGTCCCACCTGCGGCGCTGACGGTTTTCCTTTGCGACCTCCTGGAGGGGGGGGGGGAGAAGGGGGATACCCGCGCCTGAAACAGGGCCTGAGGGCTCTTTTGCTCCCTTTGAAGAGCGGCGTGTTTGACACCGGCAGCACTGATTTTCCCTCCACAACTCCTGCTTCCTTGGCCCTTGCATGGAACCCAAATTTCCACCTGCCCCTTTCATTCAAGGCGCGGCGGGTGAGCCCCCCGCAGCCCGCCCTGCCAGATCCTACTTTGTCCTCCTTTGCTGCTTCACCAAAAGCACTGCAAGGTACCGCCCTGTGCATCTTTCACATGTTCGCTGTTTTGCAAGGCGGTATGCAGTCAGCAGAGTCAGAACTTTCGGTGTGGGAGGGGGCTCTGGCTGCGGCCAATCGCTCCGCAGGGCAGAGAGAGGGCATGCAAGGCGACCCACATGGCGAGCTCCGGGGGTCTTTCCTGATTTCGATTGCAGCCAGCAGACTGACCCAGTGGAAGAAGGCCCGACCGGTTGATGCAGCTGAGCTGTAGCGCCCCCTGCTCCCGCCGCAGCCTGCATGGCAGGTTTCTCAGGCGGCCCCTGCCCTACCCAAGCATGTGTTTGTGAGCGCGTGCTCGCACAGTCCCACTCTAGTAGGGCGTGTAGCCCCCCCGCCCGCGGCCGCGGCCACGGCCGCGCGGCATGTACCCGCCCCACATCCAGGGCATCATGAAGGGCGGGGGCATCATGTAGCCGCCGGCGCCGCCGCGCCCCCGACCCCGCCCGCGCGCCCGCATGCCCGGGACGTTGGTGCGCTTGGGGTTCACCTTGAGCGTCCGGCCGCGCAGCTCCGACCCGTCCAGCAGGCAGGCGGCGGACACGGCGTCCGCCTCCAGGAACTCGATATAGGCAAAGCCCTTGGGGTTGCCGGCCTTGTCAGACAGGATGGTGACCCGGTTGACGGTGCCGCAGCCCTGGAAGTGGGACTGGAGCTCCTCGGGCGTCGCAGCGTAGTCCACGCTGCCAACGTAGACGGAGCGAGAGTCGGCCTCCTCCTTGTTCGCGTCGGTGCCGGGGGCGGAGGTGCCAGGAACCAGGCCGGCGTCCTTTTGTGCCTTTTCCTGGGGCGGGCAGGGGGATGAGGAGGGTGCTTGTGGGGATGTGAATTTGGAACGGCATGGGCGGGAGGGACTGCCGTGGCATGGAAAGGCATGGCAAAGTCCCACCAGCCGGGAGCCGCGCACTGTTTTAAGAACACCGATGGCCCCTGGCGCATCACGTTATCATCATACGTGGCTCGTCGGCAGCATGCTGGCATGACTGCGGCCTCGCGCCCATGTTCTGCCCAGCAGCCACGGATGTCCCCACCTGTATCTCCTTGAGCTTGGCTGCTTCCCGCTCCATCTCCTCCAGGCGAGCCTTCATCGACTCGATGTCCTGCGGAGCAAGGACTATCATGGTGTCATGCCGCCCCAGTGAAGGCGACATGTGGCGAGACGGTGGGCACAGCGCAAAACAACCCCCAGCACCGCAAGGGGTGTTCTGGCCGCTTACACCACTCAATTGCTCCACGTGCATACCCATCACCCGAGCTTACATCCATCTGATCCTCCCCTAGCTGTCCCTCCAGCTCGACATCGCCGTCCAGGTCGACATAGGCGCCTTCCTCCGTCATCGAAAACTGTCGGGAGGCCGGCAGGGGGCTCGTTGTCGTACCGCACGGCCGGAAGGTTCTTTTCAGGTACGGGGAGAGGTCTGCAGTGATTTGGGCGTGCATGAGCTTCTTCTCTGTCAGCAGACCGCTCGGCAGGGAAGTGGCCCAGGGATCCGTGTTCAGAGAGGGAGTTCCTGGCGGGAAGCTCTCGTGAGCGCGCGATCTGCATGCACATAAAAATTCAAGAGCCACGGCTCGACACGAGGCCCAATCCCACCCATGCCGATGGGTCGAAGCAGGATATGCCCTCATTGCTGCTATTGGATGTGAAGGGAGAAGCACGGCCCGCTCCAGAAGCCATGTAGGCGTTCGCTAGTTGGGCGGCATATCTCTCGGCACGCCGGGAGTCGTCGGGAGTCATCGATGCCATCATCGCCCCCGACCTGTGCATTCTGCGATGAGCCAGAGGGTCCGACCCATGGTCTCGGGCCCCTCCTGGGTCCCATCCCAGGATTAGGGTCGGGGTTGGGAAGGGGTGCTTATGTGCATAGGGTGTGTGCGATCTGGTCTCCGCAGGTGGGCAGCGAAGGAGGGGGGGAGGTAACAGTACCGCTCTGCCGGGGCCGCGCCCATTTTGGACCAAGAACGTGATGCACGCACACCACAAAGCACAGTGTCAGATCTCCCTGTCGCAATGTCACCACCAGGTGTGCGAGACACCCGAGGGAGGATTGAGGGGGGTGGCTGGAGAGGTGCGGCGCGGGCGAGCCCTGCGATGTGCCCACTGCGGCAAGCGCGGGGCGTCCCTGGGATGCCGCCTGGCCTCCTGCCACAGCTCGTTCCACGTGGCGTGCGCCCAGGCCGCGGGGGCCTCCTTCTTCCTGGGCAGCTTCCAGGTGGCATGCAAGGCCCATGCCAGGCTGTTTGGCGGGGAGCCCAGCGTGCCCAAGCTCCTGGGGTGAGCGGGGGTGGTGGGGTGCAGGAAAGGGCCCTGCAAGGGTTTGTTGACCAGCTGGGGTGTTAGCTTGAGCCCGGCCACCGTGTTTCTGTGGGAGATCCAGTCCAATGCCCCCTTCGCCAGCAAGTCCCGCCCTGCCCCCGCAGGTTGATGCTGGATGCCGAGACGATGCGGCCCATCGCCAGCCCCTCCGGCGGCAAGAAGCTGATGGCCTCCCCTCCCCTGCGCGCCCAGCGTTTCCCGGGGGAAAAGGGCGACCGGGCCGCCGGGCGCCGGGCCGAGGTGCTCCAGGCGCGGGCCGCGCTCCGTGCGTGGCGCGAGGAGGAAAGGTGGGAGTGAGGTATGGACGAGTGTGAGGTGGCGTCGCGGAGCGGCCAGGGGCACCCCCTCACCAAGGTCCGCCGACCAAAAGATGCAGGGCCCCGTCCCTCCCAGCAACCGCGCTGCCGGATCGTCTGGTGCTGCCCAACCCCCCCTCCTTCTGTCGTGCTGACCCACAGGCGCCAGCGGGAGCTGTCGTCGTCCGACGAGGAGCACCTGCGGTCCAGGGAGGCGCAGCGGGAAGAAAGGGAGATCGCCAGCCTGCAGCCCGTCCTCCTGGGCGCCGAGCCCCAGGGCGAGGGCGATGGTCTGTACACCCGACCCCTGACCACGTTTGCTGATGTGGCGGGGATGGAGGGCGTGAAGGCCGCGCTGCGAGAGATGGTGCTCCTCCCCCTCCTGGCCCCCCAGGTCTTGCAAGACATGGGCATCTCCGCTCCGAGGCAGGGAAGGGAGAAGGCGGGTTGAATTGAGAGGATGTGGGTGAGGGTGAGGGGACGGCCGGCTTGCTGTGCATCGTGGAGCGGTGTAGGGTATCGAGGCGCCAACGGGGGTCATCCACGACCTACGCCTGACCGAAACTTCAGCAGAATGGGGTTGGGCAAGAGACGCCGTCCCCTCTCCTTCTGTTAATGCATTCAAGGATCCGTCGCCCCTGGCCGACACCCTGCCCATGTCATCCGCTATGCCTCCCTGCCTATCCTGCCACCCAGGGGCATACTGCTGCATGGTCCTCCAGGGACAGGCAAGACCCTGATCGTCAGGGCCCTGGCGGGCGAGTGCGCTGCGTTTGCGGCCTCGCGTGTCTCGCTCTTCGTCCGCAGCGGCGCCGACTGCCTGGGCAAGTTCCATGGGGAGGCCGAGCGCACGCTGCGCCTCCTCTTCGAAGAGGTGAGGCGCTGTTTGCCGGGAGACGGCAGGCAACTGCGCGAGGAGGGTGGGTGGGATGACTAGTGCCAGAAGCAGGGGATGCAGGGAGGCTGTGAGTTTCCGAGTATCCCTCACTCTCCCCCACTCTTCCTCTCGCCCGCTCGCCATCGCCCGGACAGCCCTCTTCATCACCCTTACTTGCTCCTCACCGCAGCCCTCTCCAGTAATCACCCCCTCCTCACCAATCTCAGGCCCCCCTTCACTGCAGGCCACACGCCGCGCGCCCTCCATCATCTTCTTCGACGAACTGGACGCGCTGGCGCCCGCGCGCACCGCACGCCACGACTCCCCCTCCGACCAGACTTTTGCCTCTGTGGTTTCCACCCTGCTCTGCCTCATGGATGGGGTGGGCAACCGCGGCGCGGTGGTTGTGATTGGCGCCACCAACTCGCCAGACAGCCTGGACCCGGCCCTGCGCCGCCCCGGTCGCTTCGACCGCGAGGTGGAAGTCGGCCTGCCATCTTCGCGCGAGCGCCTCGGCGTCCTGCGTGCACACACCCGGCGCTGGCCGCAGCCGCCGGACCCCGAGCTGCTGTCCCGCCTGGCGGCCGCCACGCGCGGCTGGGCCGGCGCCGACCTGCAAGCGCTGGCGGCGGCCGCCGTCGTGCGCGCCGCGCGGCGCGCGCTGCCGCTGGACGCCGCGTTGGACGGCGGGGCGGCGCTTTGCGACGGGCTCGCCCCGCCGCGCGTCGAGGCGGGCGACTGGGAGGCTGCGCTGGCGGAGGCGCCGCCGCCCTGCGCTTGGCGGGCGGGTGGCGCGGCGGGCGGGCCGCGGGGGCCGCCGGAGGGCCTGCCGGCGGCGGCGGCGCGCTCGGTGCGCGCCGCGCTGCGCGCTGTGCACGCTGCGGCCGCGCTGCCGGTCGAGCTGATGCCATTCCTGGACTGTGATCCGCCGGAGCTGCTGGCTGCGCTGGCGGGCGAGGGCGGGACGGACAATTTGGATCGAGACTTCAATGGCCCAGGCCCAAACGGCTTGAGTCGACGAAGCCCTTTCGTACCTTCTGGGTCAGCTCTTTGCAGCTCCACGGACCTTCGACACTCTTTGCCGCCCCCTTGCATCCGCCTGCTCCTCTGGGGCCCGGTGACGTCGGGCAGCGGGGGCGCCGGCGACGTCGCCGCTTGTCTTTTGGAGCTGTTCTGCCGCGACGCGGGATTCGTCGTCCACGCCCTCACGCTCCCTTTGCTGATCACCTCCGGCGACAGCCGCGGTGCCGAGGGCCTTGCGGCCGGCTTAGGGCCGGCCCTGCAGCCCCTGCTGCGCCCAGGCCTCCAGCATCCCTCCCTGCTCCACCTCCCCGACCTCTCCGCCTGGGCCGTGGGCGACGATGGCGAGGGGCTCGGCGCCTCACCGGCGTGGACGACCTTCGTCGTGGCCGTGCAGGGCGCGGCCAGGGGCACGCCGGCGCTGATCCTAGCCACGGCGCGGGGCCCCGCAGACGCCCTGCCGCATGATGTCCAGGACTTCTTCGATGTGCAGCTGCTGTGCCCGGGGTCGTCGATGCGGGAAGGGGTTGTGCTGGCACACCCCGCTGGCCAAGAGGGCTGGTCCTCGCCACCATCGCAACCAGCCACGGACGCCCCGGCCCACGAGGCGCTTCTGGCGGACAGCAGCCGCCCAACAGATGGAATGTCGGAGGAAGCAATGCCTCGTGCACCTGCTTCGCAACTTCCTGAGCCTGTGACGCCAAACGTCACGACCAACGAGGCCGACCTGGCGGCCGGGCTGGCGCTCTACCATGCGGAGCTTTCCTCCCTGCAGGAAGTGGGCTTGTGGCTGGCAAGGGACCCCCGGCTGGCCCTGCTCGAGGCCACGCCCGGCCGGCCAGAGCGGCAAAGGAGCAAGCGCAGGCGCGGCATTACCCCGCCCAGCGTGCCGCGCGTGGCGCGCCGCTGCTGGCAGGGGCTCTATGGCTCTGTGGAGGCTTTCCTGCTGGACTTCAGGGCTGCGGTCGCCGAGATCCATGCCACTCCAAGCGGCGGCGACTCCCACGGGTGCGAGGTGGAGAGTGATCACAAGCAGGCCATCCTCCTGAGGCGTGCTTGCATGGGCTCAGATACCTCTCATGGATGCAGAGGTTTCTGCCACTGAACCTTACTGGGCTCCCACCCTGATGGCCAGGCATTCCCGTCTCAACCATCATGCACACCTGCATGGCCCAGGTACTCGCCCCAGGTTGCCGCAGCATGTGCCCTGGCAGACGAGGTCGAGCAGCGGTGCCACGAGAACATGCAGAGCCTGGAGCTTGACAATCCACACCTGCAGGCACTAAGGGCTGTGGGTGCCGAGCATGTTGCGGGGCTTGCCAACAATCGCATGACATCTGAGGCATCAGGGCCGCAGGATGGACGCTGATCCCACAATTGGTCTGATCTTGGTTGCATGTGGATGGCACATTGTGGTATCCTCACTCACTATGCCCGACATGTCTGCCTGGCATCAGACCTGCGTGTCTGGCATCGCTGCCTCTCGGCTTGCTCAGAGGCCACTCTGGAAGCCTTTTGGCCGACACGTGCCCCACGACCTGCATGTACACTCCTGTAACAATCCCGAGCGTGGACCTTGGCCCTGCATACGGGTCCCAGCACCAGATCGGGACATTGTGAGGCTGCTTACGTTCCGACCCAAGATCCAGAAAGGGAACCGGGAGGAGAAGCTTGAGACCCTGCGCTGGCGCTCCACACTTCCCTAAGTCCTGGTCAGCCTCATGAGTCTTCACATGGCATCCAGCATTGTCCGCTCATGCGCCCAGCAGCCTCGGCCATGCCATGCGGGGCGCGGACTAGTGGCGACCACATGCCGGGCCGGCATGGGGAGGCATGATCCGGGGAGCCAGCCCAGCAAGTCTTGGAAGACCGCGCCCATTGCCCTCTGCCTGAGTCTATGCATGACCTCAGGTACGCCTGCAGGTGGCGATCCCCTGCGATGCTGCCTGGGAATGTAGTGGATGGGTGTTGGGGGTGCATGGAGAGGCCCCCCCCTCCTGAGTAGGGGTGAATCTCTCCATGCTGCTGCCTAGTAGTCGGCGGGGCAACTCAGCAGTGGGCACCCCCACCCTGAGCAGGGGCCTGGGCTCGCTTGGAGGGCGTCAACCAGCCCAACCTCCTGCCTCAGGGCAGCGAGATCATCCCGCTCATCGACGTCGCCAACTTCCTGACCGAGACCGAGGTGGGTAACAACGGGCAGTTCTGTTGCTGATGCAGCCCTGCGTTGCCAATACAGCCTTCCACTTGCCGTCACCCTCCGACACTCCCGGGCTGCACGGTTAGCATGCACCAGTCTTCCAACAATCACTTCAGGAGACGCGCATGAGGGACAGGCTGCAGCACCTGGAAAAGGACACGGGAATCAAATTCCGCGTGCTGGCTCAGAACTACCCCGACACCCCAGGTATGGAGCGTATGGACTTCATGGCTTGGCCAGAGTGTGCATTCCCAGAAGCCCTGGTAGGGCGTGTGAAAGGGAGGGTCCGCCTGGCGTCCCTGCACACTTGTTTGAGAGGGAGTCCCTCTGTGCAAACCATCTGGTTTGGGTACCCTGCTTGTCACGCCCACCGCCTCACATCGAATACCTTTGCGCTCCCTTGCCCTCCCTCCAGGCCTGGCCATCAAGGACTACTGGTCGGTGGATGACAACACCGTGGTCCTGGTCGCAGACCCCACCTTTGGCAATGTGCTCAACTTCAATATCGGCATCAACATCGACAGCTTCATCCCACGGGTGAGGGCGTCTTTGGTAATCTGGCTTGGAATGCTGGGCCTGGGGGGTGGGACAGGGCTTGCAGCGCCGGGCCGCCCATCCTGCTCAGCCTATGTCTTGGCCTGCCTGGTCGGCGGAGTGCTTCGTGGATCTACCCAAAGTCCACTTTCAAGCTTCCCACCCGCAATCACCAACCTGCAGAACTTCTGGTCCAAGGTGGCCGGCAGGTTTGGGAACAAGTTTTATGTGGAGGAGCAGGGTCGTGACGTGGCAATCATCAACGCTGTGGCCGCCGTCGACCACTGCCTGCGGGAACCCATTGACCGGACGCAGTGCTCTGAGATCCGGGGGGAGCTGGAGTGAGTGTGCCTGAGGCTCACTGTCAACAGTATGAGTTGCAATACCATGAAGGGAAGGGAGGGAGTGGGGGGGCTCCATGCAGGAGGAGGCCGGGGCTGGCACATGCTGGGGCATGCCAAGAGGGGTGCCGACTCAGCGACCCTGCACTGCCACCTCGCACCGCTCGGCACAGTCGGCCCCGGCATGTGGAAAGGTCCGCAGGGAAACGCCAGGGCAAAGCTCGACTGTGGATGAGCAGGCTGCTGCAGCAGTCGGGCCGGCCGCCTGGTTGGCATCATGCATCGCCAGGGACCGGGGCGGGTGCGCAGTCTGAGCGCCTACCGGAACAACACTGGCCCATCTCGCACAGAGCAGTGGAACGACGCCAATCGCCGGCACTCCAAAATTGCGCCGGCCCAGACCGCCCTGGGCCTCTTCTTGCAGCTTCCTCAGCAGCACCTCGTCCCCTCAGTCGGTCTTCTTGGTCGGCACCGGGCGCGCAGGCGACCGCCGGCGGCGCAGGCTCCACCTCGCCACGGCCCCCACCTGGAAGAAGAAGAGGACTAGGGAGGTGCCGGCCACGCAGAAGCCAAAGAAGCCGTATGCCAGGGGCAGCTTGTTCAGGAGGGGGTAGGGGAACTGCGCAGAGGAGAAGGGGGGGTCATGGGTGAGGGGGTTGCATCCAAGTCCCACCACATGTGCCAAGGTGCTCATACCGTCATGGCCGGCCGCCTGGCCGCAGCGCTGGGCGTGCTTGAATTTCCTGCTCCAGGTTCTCCCCCGCGCAGCCAATCCTCCCCTGCAGGAGCCCGCGGGGCGCCGGCAGAAGCAACACGTGCTCACCTTGCCGTACCCGGCGCGCACTACCAGGCACCAGGCAGAGTAGGCCAGGGCCAGCGCGATGGCCAGGCTGCGCGCCTGGGGCGCAAAGTCGCGGTGGGGGGAGAGCAGGATGTCGCCCCAGGCCGCCAGGCTGTTCCCGGAGTGAACCGAGAAGTCGAGCCAGTCGGGGCGGTTGAAGCCGCCGCGCTCCACCAGGCCCTGCGGCGTGTGGATGGAGGGCGGCAGGGGTTGGGGCGGGTGGGGTTGTGAGCAGGAGGGGAGACGTCGAGGTGATTACGCGGGCACTCAGGGAGGGAATGGAGTAGGCAGGAGCGTGCCTGCTTGTAGGGTGTGTGCGCCTGTCAGCGCCGGCGAGGCTCCCACCCCCCAAAATGCACACGACGTCGCAGCCGGAGACCCAGAAAACCCCACGCTTCACATGCCGACACACATTTGTCGCATTCTCGACGGCGTAAAACATGAGGGTGACGGTGTTGGCGATGGGGAAGAGGGCGCAGCCCAGGTTGTTGGTGGCGGCGCGCAGCCGCGTCCTGGTTTCCTGGCTCTGTAGTGGAGAGGGTAAGAGAGCGCGTGACCAGAAGTGGGATTCAAGGTCTCACTTCCTCCATGGAGCCTCGCGGTAGGGGCAACACACCAGGAGGGGTGCAATCATGATGTTTCAGCTCCCCGACCCGCCACGCCACATCACAGGCCTGGCAAGACGCACCTTGACCAGCTCAGACAGGCAGGACGAGAAGAAGAGGATGGTTTGTAGGGTGAATGAGCAGAAGGTGAGGTACCTGAAGAACCAGCCAAAGCCCTGGGCACCCGGCAGCGCGGCTGCCTGGGGGGTCAGGTGCCAGAGCCAGACCCGGCAGAAGACCAGGGTGCACACGGCGTGGTACAGGAAGGCAGAGGTGCTGCCCTCCACGGATCTGCGAGGGCAGGCGAGGGACGGGGTCGCATCCGCTGGATCAGGCTGAGCGCACCCAGGACACACCTGCGCCAGTCTCCCGGCGCCCGAATCCACCTCGCCCTCATGCTCACCGCCGGAGGGCATTTGCGGCGCGATCCAGAGCCTCTGGGGCGAGGACAGGAGCCGAGGCGGTCTCTGCCTCCGTAGTGCTCTTCGACATGGGACTCCCTCTGCTCTTAAAAATCCCGACTCCCCGACCCCCTCCCAGCCGCGCACGGGCCGGCGATGCCTGCTTCGAGCTGATTGGCGCTGCTGAACAGCTCGTGTGATCAGGTCATTCGTCTTGGTTGCCACGCTGGTGTGTCTGGATCCCTGGAGATCAGGGAATGAGCGGCGTTGATGCCGAGTGAATCATACATCGGCCTTATGCCGCCGCACTTCGCGCTCCATCAGCGGGGCATGCCGCTCCACATGCCCTTCCAACACCAGAGTCTATCATGGGGGGACCAGTGTACACACTACATACAACACCGACAAAAGAGAGACTGGCAGTGAGGTGCATCAGCAGAGACATCAAGATGGAGTGCTGTGGAGCCCTGCATGCTTCATGCAGGAGGGGTGTCCAACTGAATTGGAGGTGAGGTCCGAGAGCAGTACATATATGCGCGCGTGAACAATAAAGGCTGCGGGAGCACTCCGCACCGTGAAAAATCCGAGGGTATCGAGGTTGAGTCGAAGCCAGGCCTGCGCATTCCAGAGGCGTGGGTCGCCGGGCTTTGAGGCTGGCGTGGTGTTTTCGCAGCCAGGGCCCAGGCCCTCACGCCAGGTGGGGTGTTCTGCCGAGACGAGCAGCCCACCGGGGTGAGGCAGCCTCGAGCACTGGATCAGGTCCCAGTGCCAGGCGGGAGGTCCTGGACAAGGTGCCCTGGGGCCCTCAAGCATGGCTGCCAGTCAAGGGGGGTATAACGAGTATCTCGACGCCTCAGGCCTGCGGGCCACCCTCGCCTGGGTCCTGCGCGGCCGGCCCCTGCCGACCGCCGACCAGCGTCGTTTGCAGCATCTGCAGCAAGTCTGGGTGCCCACCTGCTGCCAGAATGGAGGGGAAAGGAGGGTTCCCAGTATGGGCGCACCGTCGATGTGCAAGGACCATGCAGCAGCATTCACCCAACAAGACGGGTACCTGGGATGCCAGACATTTCTTACCCCTCCCCCCCCACAGAACCAAAAGCCCATCGCAACATCCTCTCTCCCCACCCCCGTGACGCACCGTCCTGCAGCGGCGCCCTCCCGCGCTCCCTGCTCTGCATGCCCAGGAGCGCGGCGAGGAGGAGCTGCTGCGAGGCCTGCGGCCCTCCGCCGCCGGCGCCGGCAGCCGCCAGCACCTGGCGCAGCAGCGCCTGGAGCTCTGCGGTCCCCAGATCCTGGCCCCCCGCTGCCGCCGCCGCCGCCGGCAGCGGCCGCTGGCGCGGCGAGGGCGGCAGCTCCCCACCCGCCAGCATGGCGGCGGCCATGGCCGCCTGGCGAGAGGAGTTGGCCGCCAGCTCCTGCGCCAGCTCGGCCTGCCGCGCCCGCAGCTGCTGGTACTGGGTGAGGGCGGGGGCGTGCATCACGGGGCGCGTGGGCACGAAGGCGGCGGTGCGCGCGAGCGCGATGCGCTTGGGCGGCCGCTCCTCGCCCGCCCCGGCGCCGGGGGAGCCCCGCTCCCCGGGCAACGGTGCCACGCCGGGGCGCGCACCCGCGACGCCGCGACCCCCGGAGTGCTCCGCCAGCTGGAAAGGGTTGCTTGGGCCCTCGCCCGACCCCCAGCCCGCGCCGGCGTGGGCCACGGGCGGGAGCAGGGGCGAGTAGCCAGCGCCGCCGGGGCCGCCGGGACCGGCGCCCAATTCGTGCGGCGGCGCAAAGCCCGCCCGCGGAATGGTGGGCACCAGGTGCCGCCCCGCGGCGTCGTAGCCGCTGCCGCCGGCCGGGTCGGGGCCCGTGCGCTGGAAGGGGCTGTGGCTGCTGCAGCCCGCCGAGCCGCCGCCCTCGGGGGGCCACAGGCGGACCGAGGGCAGCGGGGCGCGAGGCGGCTCGCTCAGCAGCGCGCCCGCCAACGTGGATGGCACGGAGGCCGACAGCTGCCGGCTGGCCGTGGAGGAGAGCATGCGCCCCAGGTCCTCAGACGTCAGGCCGGCGTTGGACTGCGGCGGGGGAGAGGGGTGGATCAGGGGCAGATGAGTGTGGCAGGAGGGGGGGGAGCGACTTCCAGCCGGGCCAGGCTGGCGAGGCAGCTGGGAGTCACCTCCAGCCTTCCAGGTGCAAGCGCAATGAGCTGGCCTTGAAACCCTGAGACTCGGCTCAGGGCAGCAACACTCACGAGGTAGATGTCACCCACTGGCGGGGCGGGATGACACAGGAAAGTACATGTCCATGGATATCACCAACCGCACCATGGCCCTGTTCACTAACACAGCAACTGCTGTTCCCTTACCCCACTCCCTCCCCGCGCCCCTACTCACCCAGAGTCCCAGCAGCTGGCTCATCTCGTTGGACATTGCGTTGGAGGTCTGGCCCCTGCCCAGGTCCCGGCTCCCGGCCGGGCCCAGGGCCACGGGCCTTTGACCCTGGTGCGGATCCTCGCTCTGCTGCGGCTGGTGGCGCCAGCCATACGGGCCGCGCGCCGGCTCGGAGAAGATGCGCTCCAGCAGGCCCTGATTTCGTGTAGGGGGGGGGGAGGGGGGGGGGGGGTTAGTTGCACATGGACTGTGCTCCCAAGGAGTGGACTGGGCGGATGTCTGTGTCTTGCAGAGCGCAGCACGAGCGTTCTTCGGAGGCTGGCGGGGGCCTTCGACGTGGGAGATCCGCACTGTCAACATCTGTTGCTGGGGCAGCAGAGCCGTGCGACTCACCAGGGCGGACTCTGACGAGGCCTGGCGCTGCGCCATGCTTTCCTGGGCCAGGTTATCGGCCTGCAGGTCCATGATGAGGCTGGGGGGGAGGCCGGCGAGGTGAGGCTGCATCACGTCTGCGGCGCGGAGGGACAGGTGGACACGGCGTTGTGGTTTGCTTGAAGATGGGAGGGGCCTGCTGCAGCGGCTCGGTGGCGGCAAGGGTGGAGAGGGGCACCTGTCTTTCTACGAGGGAGCGACCTGCTCACGAGTGACATCTCCCGCGCGTGCAGCCACACGCAGAGTGATGCCCTGGCCAGGCTCCCAACCTCCCACCCAAAACACTCTCATCCCACACACCAGCCGCACCTTGGGAGGGGGCCGAGCTGGCGAGCTGGGCGTCCCCCGCCCAGTCGCCACTGGTGGGGCCAGCGGAGTGCAGGGGCTCCTCCCGCTTCCCAGCAGGCCTCCGGCTGGCCTGAGTCGTGGTGAACACCTTGCGGCGCCGGGAGTTGTGCTGCTCCAACCGCGCCCGGCAGTTCCTGCGGGGGGTGTCGTGTGGTGGTGGGCAGGCTGTGTGTCGGCCTGGGACTGCCCTGGGCGCATGGCCCCAGAATGGGTTCCAGAGCCCTCGTCAGGCACAGAAGGCGTGCAGCACTGGCGTCAACGCTGTAGAAATAACACCCGCCAAGCACCATTGACTGTAAGCAACGCAGATCGCAAAGTTCCCGATTCATGGTGAATATTCACACCCCCCCCCTCCCCGCGACTCCAACTGCAAGCCCACACCTCTTGTCCCCATCAAAGGCATCCAGCGGGTGGAACCTGCCACACTGCTGGCAGAAGCGCTGCGGGAGGCCCTCCACGATCAGGGCGGGGCCCTTGAGGTGCGGCTTGCACACCCGATAGCGCTGGTAGTAATCGGCGTGGCCCACCAGGCTCTGCCCACACCCCAGCACCTGGCAGGTGAGAGGGATGTCCCTCCTACTGTCCTTCAGCCGGGCAATGTCGGGGAGGACCGGGATGTTCGCGGTGGAGGAGGGCCCCGGGAGCTCCCCCATGCCCTGGTGGACCCTGGCTTGGAAGCCCACGGAGGCCTCCGGCTGGGACCCCAGCCCGGGCAGGGGTGCGTCCGCACTCTTCCCGTACTGGGTGGCGGTGTCGCCTGAGAGCATCCAGGACGCCTGCACCGCTGGGCGGAGGGGGTCCTTGGGCCCAGCGCCTCCGCTGGCGGTGGAAGTCGAACCGCTGTCGTGTGCGACAACCTTGGCGTCCATGCCGCCCGACTCCTGGGGGGCAGGGGGAGGGGTCTCCCCACACACCACGCTTGGGAATGTTTTGGGGACGCCTGGGGGAGGGGTGGGCTGGGGGCGTCGGGGCAGCGTTCGAGCGGGCACGGCAATGGATCGCAGGGATTATCCCAGGTTGCGCGTCATGCAAGGACAATTCGCCCTTCAGTACAGGGTCGCACAGATCGAGGTTCTCACCTCGATGTTGTAATGGAAGGACTACTTCGATTCTGGGGAGCAATGGTCTGTTGCTAGTCGTCAGAGGCACGTACGGAACCCAAGAAGTCAGGCCGTACGGGCCCGGGGTGGCGGGTATGGGGGAGGGTCCACCAGCGTCATCCCTGTGGGACCCCGTCTTTCCCGAGTTATTCGTGACCAACCTCTCGTGACGCCATCAAAGTTCCCGAGGTTGCAGGGGCGTAGAGGCGAACACTCTCTCCATCAAGGTTGCGTCTAAGAAGAAAGAGAGAATTTACCATCTTGGGGAATTTACCAGGAAGGCTTGGCCCGGCTCAGGATACTCTGACGCGATCGGCAGGATGCTCTTGACTTGCGAAATTGCTTCAACACCCGCTCCCACAGGGTTCATTCATGGTTTTGGTTCAAGATTATGAGATAGCGAGCCGGGCCCTCCATGGGAGGTGGAAGCACTACACCTTGGTAAGCCAGCACCAGGCGTGCAGCCCCGCCACCTTCCTGAGCCTCTCGTGGTCCCTCAGCAAAAATGGTCTATCATCACACTCAGCGCAGTTGCAGACTGGGGGGCCATGAAAGGTATGAATGGTGACAAGTATGTCGGAGCGCAAGAGTGCCGGGTGGTGGCGGTTCAAGGCCAAAAATGGGTCTTGACAGGGGTGCGAAAGCAACATGAGGGTACAGCAATGTGCAGGAGTCTACAGGTTGGGCAAATCAGTGAGCAGCAAGGAGTTATTCGTTATCACTCTAGAAAAATTGGCTTGGATTCTCAGGCGAACTGGGGCAGGGCCCAGCGCGTGGAGCCAGATGCAAGGCTGGGCTCGTCGTCCATGTCAAACTTGGCAAGGAAGCCACAGTCGCGCAGCACTGGATCACCCTCCTCAATGAGGGGCAGGACGAGTGTTGATACCTTTGGCTGCTGCAGGGGAGGGGGAAGGAAGTGGGTGAGATGCAAAGTGCTGGATGAATGACTGGAGAGAGCAGCGCGGTGCGCTCTGGTGCGGGCAAACTCTGTTCTGGTGTTCACAACCACTACAGCTCGCCTGAATCAGTCCTGTATCCCTTTCCAGACACACCTTGACCTGTGCGTCTGGCGGGAGGAAGTGGGGGTCGGCCGCTGCACATGTGGGAGGGCAGGCACCAGCAGGTTCTGCCCAGCTTCCGGCGCTGGCATAACCATGCCCTGAGGCAGGCAGGGTCTCCTCCGTCACGCTCGCACAGGTGAAGCTCCTCGTGCTGTGGCGACGTCGAAGCTCAGAGGGACTGCAGCCAGGGCAAGGGAGGAGGCTTCCGGTGAGGTGTCCTGGCTCGCTGGGCCTCGGCGAGGCAGCGCGGTACAGGCAACGCCGCGCCATGCGCCACACCAGGGCCCGTTCCCAGCCACGCCATGCCCCCTAGACCCCTCCAAATCTCACCTTGAAGGAATGCGGATGGGATTCGAGCAGCAGCTGCTGGGTTGTGATCCGGGAGGGGAGCCAGAGGCGGAGGCAGCAGCGTGGCGTGGGGTGCGTGCCTCGAAGTGGTGGATGTGCCGGTACAAGTCGGCCGTGGACTTGGACTTCTTCATAGCGGACGTGTCGAACTTGGACGGGCAGGCGATGGTGAGGCGGGGGAAGCCCTGACGCTCCCGACTCAACGCCAGGCCCAGGACGGATTCCGGGGGATGCGGCGTTGCCGCACCCTCCTCTCGCCGTGGTGTGCATATAACCGAGGTCGGAGAGGTGTCGAACCCCACAATGCGCAGGGGGGCCTTGATGCACACCTTGGTGCGCACGGGCGTTGGCGGACACCGGCTGTCGTTCTCCATGTATGTGGCCACCACAAAACAAAGTCCTAAAGGTGTCTGGGAGATGTTGTGGGCTCAATTGTAATTCCGGAAGTGGTGATGGCTGGTGCGATTGTATAAGAGGTGTTACGAAAATTATTGGTGGGGCTGACTACCCATGTGAATAACCCAGTTCACGTGGGGCAGTTCTCGGCAAAGGGGCTGACGAGGCTGAGTCGGTCGGGGCTACTACCTCCTGAGTCACCTTCTCTATGAGCACTGAGAAATCAACTTCAAATTTCAGGTCCTTATTTGCAAGAATCAGGGTTGATCGGCTCCTGAGGTGAGTTTCAGCGCCGTAATGGCCGACTGATCCAGCCGGTACGCGCCTCGTCCACCGTCTGCCAGCCTCCACACCGCGTCAGCCAATGGAGTCAGCTCCGCGATCTCGTGGCTCACCACCAGCATGGTGCACTGCCCCTTTAGTTTCTGAAGGAGGGTCAGCAGATCTCGACGGGCCATCCAGTCCAGACCCGCCAGTGGCTCATCGAGGAGCAGGAGCCGGGGCTGCTGTATCAGCTGTACAGCCAGCGCCACCCTCCTGCGAAGGTCCGCGAGATTTCGCAAGTTTTCTCATGGATATTCAAGGGTTTAAAATCGATAAACAATGCTCTCTACACCCTGAGAAACCGTCAGATCACCGCCTCCACGAGATATCGTACGCTGGCCATGGAAGATTGCTCGAGGTGTCCCTCCCCAAAGATGGCCGGACAAACAGCCGCGCAGCTACTCCCCTCCTGAAATCCACCCACGAGACCAGTCCCATCATCCCCACACCCACCTCTTGTACCCGTCGCTGAGGCTGGACAGCCTGGCCTGGAGTGGGGTGCTCGATAGGCCCACGGCGGCGAGCACCTGCTGTGCGCGCTGGGCCAGCCGGGTGCGTCCCGGCCCCGTCTCCGGCCAGCCCAGGGTCAGCTCCTCCACCAGTGTGCTGCCCAGGAAGTGGCGCTCCGGGAACTGGAAGACCACGCCGCTGGCACGCAGGCGGGCAGGGGCGGCGGCGGGCGCGGGGCTGGCCGGCCGAGGGGCGGCGGCCCCGCCCAGCAGGATGGTGCCGGCCGTGGCCTCCGACAGGCCCGCCAGCACGTGGAGCAGCGTGGTCTTCCCCGCCCCGCTGGGCCCGGAAAGCACGCTCAGGCTGTCGGCGGGCAGGTCCAGGCTGACGCCCGTCAGCAGCGGCCGGGCCGCGCCTGCGAGATTGTGGGGCGCACGAGTGCTGGGCTGAGGCAAACCAGTGTGGGTTGCGAGCTGACGAGGGGGGACTGCACGCCAAACATGACGCGTGTGGAGCAGCGCCCACGCCATGCATCATGTCGAGACCTCGAAAAGGTTGCACCAGCAAGCTGGGCCACACATGCAGGGCAAGCCCCCTCGAATTCACACCCACCTGGGGGGTGGAATGCCACGCCTCGCACGCTGACCGACGCCCCGTGGCCGGCAGGGGGGGCGCCCGTGGCTTGTTGCAGCGCCTCGGCCAACTGGCGCAGGAAAGCGGCGCCCGGGGCGTCCCCGCCCTCGGATGCCCTAGCGCGGCCTCTGGCAGGCTGGCGGCCCCGAAACTGGGGTGTCGACCCAGCGCACGCCTTGCCGCCGCCCGGGGCTCGCCCCAGGGGAGCTGAGGTTGCAAAGTGGGCCTGCTGCCCGACCCCGACGCGCATCCTTCCAGAGTCCCTGACTGGTTGATGCTCAAGCCGATGGCCTCAGGATCTACAACAGTATGGAGGCGTGGCGTTCAAATGGGGTGTGTGCGCACCTGTACCCTTGCTGGAGGACCTTGGCCCGGAGCAAGGACAGCACACTTGCATGCTGAATACCACACCCGGGTGACACTGGCCCGGCACCTGAGAAATGAGGTCGGCGGTCTTGCTGGAGGGGCCGGATGTCCGCTTGTAATATTTGAGGCCAGCCTCCAGCGCATCAGCCGCTGCCTGGGGGTCCTTGGGGAGGTCGACGGCCTGCTTCTTGGCCTTGCGCTTGGTGACGGGCTTGGATTTGGGCGCTTGCACGACCTTCCGCTGAACTAGCACCTCCTTCAGCTGCTTCTTGATAATCTTGCGACCCATATCGACTATCCGTGCAGTTACTGGGGCCCCGCTGAGGCTAGGGGCAGTCATATCGGTCGCGGCCGAGCTTCATGCCATCGCCTCATGCTCAGCATGACGAGTCTTAGGCCCTCCACATCCCGCTAAGATCATTATGAAAACCCCGGTAGAGCATACACCCGGAGAGTCTTTCACATCCATATTCGAAGCACAAAAAAAATCATTGATACCTCATGCAATGCGGTCCGGGCCCAAACTGTATGAACGCCCACCAGGCTGCTTCACAATGGCCCACTTGGAGGCAGCCGGCGTCACTGAGTAGGGTAAGTACGACGGGAGTTCCTCGATGCAAGCCAGAATACCTACAGATCGCATCAGTGACTTCCTGCGCGGCGAGAGTCGCCAGTACAGGACTGCTTTCAACCGTGAGAACCGCCGTCCCGACAGGGTACGAATTCATAATGCAGGCCCCCATCGGACTTGCGTGTGCTGCTGCTGAACAGGGCCTGCAACCGTCTGTGCTTGCAAAGACCACATCAGTTTCTCTTTCCTTGACGTTTGTCACAGAATTGGGCCGCGAAGGCGTACTTCACCTGCGCCCGGGGCCCCGACAAGCCTATCGTGACGGCACGGTCTACCGAGAACCAGCGGCTGCAGCCTACCAACGAGGTCCGGGAGATGTCCATCAAGACGGGCTGCCAGCACAAGTTCGTCATCAAGACGCTGAGGCAGAGGAAGACAGACAGCATTATCATCTACCGCCACAAACCCCACACCGGCCAGGACGAGGACACCAGGCAGTGCCCCCGTCTGTCTTCCTGGGTGATGGACAAGCTAACGGAGCTCCTGAATGGTAATCCCAGGTTCTCGACCAGGGACTTGACCATCGTCATCCAGAACATCGTGCGGAAGGAAATGGGCTGGCCTGAGCGAAAGAAGCTGCAGCCTGCGGAATTCTTGGGCCTCCTACGTGACTTCCCGGACCGCTTCCACGACTACAACATGAGCTACCAGGACATTGCGTGAGTTCATGACATTAGGTGGTCGAAGTGAGTCGCTTGGATACCTTTGTGACCCAGCTACAATGTGTTCTGCACACCCTCTGTAGGGACCTTTGCCGAAAGTTGTAGTGCTACCCTTGGATGCTCCACCCAGATGCCGCCCAGAGTCTGGTCCTGACGATACAGGAGGATCCCTTTGACTGCACCTCGACACGTAGGCAAATGAATGAGAAACAGCCAAACGGACATTGACTGGGATGTGTAGCCCATCCTTTTCATTTGCCTCGTACCCATGCAGCGAGATTGGACAAGCAGCTCAGCCACGACAAACCAGACGGCGCGTGAAGCGCGCCGTGAGTGGCAATGCGGAGGAACGCCCTTCCAGCGCAACACCTCTTGCATCCACAGGGCAGGTGAATACAGTGGTGTGAGTGGTATTGGCCCTTGCACATCGGAATTACAGATGGGCAGTGCTGGAGTGTCCCTGCATAGCATAGTAGCTGGTATCTATGTCTCCCTTTGCCCAGTGGGGTGTCCATCAAGATCTTCAGCCCTCGAGTACTCGTCCTACTTTGCAGGACTCCGATCCGCCCTCCCTGCGGATCTGGTCGCTCGTGACGGGTCGATTCCTGCTGATCTCGTCGCCTTGCAGTCGATGATCGACGATGGTGTCATCCTGCTTCCGTACCCTCTCCAAAATTGGCCGCAGCGGAACATCAATGAATGGGTGAGTCGCCCGTGTTGGTGTGGCAGCGAGCTATGGTCTGCGATGTACGTGGGCGCATGACGGGTCAGCACTGTCCATCCCCTGCTCGCAAGGTTGCTAGTCTGTTGCCAAATCCTTCCCAATGCACACCTGCCCACTCCCAGTACAAACTCAACGAGGAGCAACATCGAAGGAGCAACATTGGAGGAGCAACTTTGGATTACCAAGAAACCGAGTCGAAGATGAGTGGGGGGGAGGTTGATGGGCTAAACCTATCCCTGCCGCCTGACCATACAATCGTGCCTCTGACCCAAACAATGTCCTTCCCATCCCGCAGCGGAGACTAGCGTGCTTTGTCACGTGTGGGAGCTATCTCTGACGGTGGAGACCAGAGGGCGACACCCTGCCATTCAGCAGTGACAGGGTGAGTTGCCCAGCATACTGCGAGGTGTTGTTTGGCGAGGAGACAGCTGGTGGTCCGTGATGTGATTATGGCCAGGGGGGTGGGCAGTGGGTCATGCGGGCGGGGTTATTGGGTATGTAGGACTCCTTTATAAGCTTCCCATCGCACGGATGCGCCGGTGCCTCAACAGCAGACTTAACACCTTCCCTTTCTCTAAAATGCAGGGATTGTCCCACCACTTCCTAGCTCCACTGGTGGGGTGAATAGTGCATATCAGTGATCCACAGATGGCTGACGGCCATGGAAGCACTGATGCAGCCGGTCCCATCGCCGGCAGTTCCCTAGGAACTGCTGTGCAGTATGGGTTAAGACTCTGGTGGAGGAGAACAAAGTGGAGTATGGCAGCACGTGCCCATCCCTCCACATTGCCAAAGGTGCCTGCTTATGATGCACCTGGAAAAGACACGCCAAAGACACCAGTATGAGAGAATAATCCAAAGAAAATCAAGGTATCGGGCTCCAATTGGTGCGCCCAATCCGTACCAGGCTGCCAAGATTAGGAGGGATCACGTTTCAGTAAATTCCTCTACAGGGCCAGGCATGGTGTGTCTTCGCTTGCCAACTCAGAGACACAATATCTGATCCGCAATGAGAGAACACGCAACTCTATACGTATATTCTGCGTGAGTCCAGGGGTTTGCCTGGGCTAGCAATTGAAACAACAAGGACTCCTTCAATGCGACATCCTCATATCAGTGCAGCTCGGGCACTTCAAGGTCAAACTCGAAAACCAAGCATACGTCGCAGCCTGGCTGCCCATTGTGCATGGGTCGGCGACTGTGGAAACAGACCCTCCCCTCCATACCGTGGAAGATCTCACTCCGGCGCATCACTTGCAGTGGTACGCCACCGGGACACCTGTCTCAGCCCGGATAGCTCAGTCGGTAGAGCGCAAGGCTCTTAACCTTGTGGTCGTGGGTTCGAGCCCCACTTCGGGCGTCACCTGCTCGTTTTGCTTCCCTAAAGGAGATGGCAGGGCTTGCCACGGTCTCCTGCTGCGCCATTCCAGGCCAGTTCGTGCACAGTGCGGTTATTGGCAGGCTTGATTGTGTACGAGTGCCAGTCAGACTTGCTCCAATGTGGCTCGTGGATCTGAACACGGAGGTGGTGTGAATCGGGGGCCCATGAGCATTCCAAGCTGTTTTGGACTGCTGTTGAGGTAGTGGAACAACGTTTCTGTGTTAAACCGTGTTGTCTAGGTGACTGGCCACCAAAATCGGCTTCGCGCGCGATGGGCTGTCCATCGAAAACCCTATACCCCTCTGCAGTACACACCAGTGCCCAAGATGTGGAGCGTGATCAATCATTACATTTTAGCAACGATGAAATCAGTCACACCGTAGTGCGCAGGCCTCCGACGGGGCGACGCGGGGATGTCGTCCCCAAACAAGCACACCTCCTCGCGCCTTGCCAGCACCGACACTCTGCATGTCGTCTGGTGCTTCGGTGGCATCATTGGCAGCCTGGTGTTGTACGGGGTGCTGCAGGTGCGGCTGGGATTGGGGATGGGATTGGCAAGGTCCACCTTCAGGGTAGCCAACTCCTGACAGGTGACTGCTGCACGGCAGCGCAGCAGTCACGATGGAGATCAGCCTGCCGCCCCCATGCCCAACCCCTTACCAAGCGCTGCCAGGAGGCACTCTGCCCTCATCCGTTGCTCCCACGCAGGAGCGGATCATGCAGTCCCCGTTTGATGGCGAGCCGTTCACCCACAGCCTGGCACTGGTCCTGGCCAACCGCCTCGTCGCCTGCGCAGTGGCCCTCTCCCTCTCCCTCGTGCGTCTTGTGGGCGGCTGTGGGAAGGGTTTGGGGCTGCTTGCACCGTGTACTGCAGGCTGGGCGCAGACGCCGCGCAGAGCCCGTCCAGATCCAGGCCCAACCCTGTTGTGACGGCTGCGCTCGGCATGCTCACATGCTTCATCACACAGAATTCCCAAGACTAACTGCAGCCCCAGGGTCAGAATACACCCACACCCCTCTCCTCCTTTGCAGTACCACGGTCATCCCCTGGCCCCCCAGGCCCCCCTCACCAGCTTCGCCGCGGTCTCCCTGTCCAACGTTGCCGCAACCTTCTGCCAGTACGAGGCCCTGCGCCACGTCAGCTTTGCAGCGCAGACGCTGGGCAAGTGTGCCAAAATGCTGCCCGTCATGCTCTGGGGCCGAGTCATGCTGGGCAAGCGGTACGCAGCGCGGGACGCCGCGCGCGCTGCCGCCGTCACACTCGGCTGCGCCGCCTTTGTGGGCGCGAATCGCGCAGGCGCCGTCTCCCCCGCCGCCGCTGGCCTCTCCTCTGCCGCCACCAATCATGCCAGCACGCCCTGGGGCCTGACACTCATGGCCGCCTACCTGACAGTCGACGGCTTCACCTCCACCTTCCAGGCCCGGCTCTTTGCGCTGCACGCCCCCACCCTGCCCAACCAGGTCCTCTACGTGGCCGCTACCTCGGCGCTCCTGGCCCTGGCCGGCCTGGTGGCCAAGGGGGAGCTGCGCCCCGCGCTCGCTTTCTTCGCAGCGCACCCGCGCGCGCTGGGCGCCGCGGCGCTGCTGGCCCTGGCCGCCACCGCGGGCCAGCTCTTCATCACGCACGCCATCCGGCGGCACGGTGCGCTGCTCGTGGCCGCCGCCATGACCACGCGCCAGTTTCTCTCCATCCTCCTGTCGGGCCTGCTGTTCGGCCACAGCTTCAGCGCCCAGCAGTATGCCGCCGCCTGCGTTGTGTTTGGTGGGTATGCGTGTGTGTCTGATTTGGGGGGGGGAAGTGAGGCCAAGGGATGGAAGGGTGGGGTGAATGTGGAGGGATTCCTATCCTGACTCTGTTTGACTGAGCGCATTCCTGGTTAACAGCGAGCATCGGCCTGCACCTGGGGCCTGTGAGCCCAGGCTGGGCCGGGACAGGGTGAGAATTGCACAAAGGGCCCTCTGGGCTATGACTCGACACATGCAGAGCTCAACCCCACCTCACTGCAGGTGCCCTGTACCACAAGACCCTGGATGCCAGGCCGCGCACAAGCAGGACCAGCGAGGCCATCCTTGCCGGCAAATCAGATGCAGCGGCAGATTCAGGCACTGAAGGCACTGCATGCGCGCCCAGCAGGTCGCGAGACGGCAGGCATGGCGCCACGAAGTAGCAATGACATAGTGCCAGCTGACGTAGACTTCCCTCGCTGGTCCTCAATAAGCACCGAGGCTGATTTCATAAACTTTAGCCACATGGGTCAGGCTCTCACCGGCAAATGTTTCTTGCCCTTCTTCAAACTCGAATCACAAAGCCTTCGGGTGTGCATTGTATAGCACTCTTCGGTGTCAAAATGTTCCTTGGCCCCCCCTGATACTGCAGATTTGTTTACCGGATTACTGCGACAATCAATGGGGGTCAAGACGGTGTGTCACCGCCACCTCCAAGACCTGCTGGGTCGAGCATAGGGACAAACAAGGGCCGCTGGCAGAAGAGCAGGGTGGAGGTCAGAGGGTTGTGATGAATGATAGTGACAAGTGGGAAAGAGGTCTGGAGGCAAGGGGCCTCTGAAGCTGCGTGACCTCGACCTGGCATCCAGTTGAGAAGACAGAGGAAACCACAGGCATCTGGTTGTAGTGCTTCTGAGGAGTGTGTCAGTGTCAAAAGGGCCGGGGGAGCTCGGGGGAAGAGGAGTAGCCCGAGCCTCGGTGGGTCAGGGGGCCGAGGACAAGCATGGTTTGAGGGGGGCCACCTCCAGCCGCCAATATGCTGTGGCCCCCCGTCAGGTCAACCTTCCATCCCAAGGGGGATCACCGCTGCGTGGCGTTGGTCTGCACCCCCAGCGTGCGTTTCATGAGCTCATAGCTGCAGAAGGCGATGGCCACCCCCGGCACGACCTTGTAGTATTCGGGCAGGATGCCGGCGTAGAAGCCGCGCAGACCCTCCCGCGCCGCGATGCTGCGGAAGACGCCTGCGTAGGAGGCATAGACGTCGGCCGCGCCGTGCGCGCCCTGGAGCTGCAGCCGGCGTCGGACCAGGTCCAGCGGGAAGGTGGCGGTGGAGGACACCAGCCCCGCCAGCGACCCACAGGCCAGCGTGGCGGGGACGGAGGGCACCTCCCCCCGTGACCCCGGCGCGCCCCCGCCCAGCCAGGCGGAGCGCAGCGTCTCGTAGGCCGCGTAGTTTATGGCCAGGCTGGGCGCCACCTGGGCCAGCGTGGCGCCCAGCCCGCGGTACAGCCCGCGCGCACCGCCCTCGCGCACGATGGCCGCCAGCGTGGCGCCGATGCCGGAGTAGACGGGGGCGCCCACCTGCGCCGCCAGCCGCGTGCGCACCAGATCCAGCGGGTACGCCTTTTGGGAGTTGAGTGGGAGGGCGAGGGGGGGGGGAGATGGAAAGGGGGGATTTGTGGGCAGGTCGGAGAGCACAATGGTGCTCCTTGTCGGAAAGCGGTGCCGGCAGAGGGGTGGTGACCGGGCTCCAGGCGTCGAAGCGCTGCCCAGCGCCCGAGCACAGGGGTCCAGACGCTTGCGAGGTCCAGCCTTCCCCAGGCCCCCTTTCATCCCCTCGCCTCACCAGGGTGCAGGCGGTGAGGCCGGCGATGCCGCCCGCGACAAAGCGCCGGGTCACGTCCGCCGCGGCCAGGGTCCCCTGGGCGGGGATGATGTGCTTCCACTGCTCATTCACCTGCTCATACACCCAGAAGTTAGCCGCGGAGTAGGGCAGGCGGTGCACGATGGTCACGCCGTTGCCGCGCCAGAGCGAGGAGAGGCCCTCGCGCGCCGCCATCTCCCGCAGGGCGCGGAGCACGCTGCCGGACGCGGGCGACCCCTGCATCGTCTGTGCGCTCAGCCCTTTGACCTGGGGAGGCGGGGGGGTCGGAGGTGTTTGGGAGGTGGGGGACGGTGCTGGAGCGGACCAGGCGATGCTCCTGTCAGCACTTCATCGCCGGCTGGTCGAGGTGCGCCAGACAGAGCTCATCGAAGAACAACGCAGCCCGGCACAGCGGCGGATCGTGAGGACACGATGGTGCATGCCCCTCACGCTCCATGGGGCCGCGCCAGCGAGGCACCACTCGACCCCTGCGCGCGTCACCTGGTACAGGATGGTGAGGCGGGCGAGGGGGGCAGTGGCCGTCTTGGAGATGGCCCCCGCCAGGCCGCCGGAGGTCAGCAGCTTGATCACCTCGATGGCCTCCTCGCGCCGAGAGGGGCCCGGCGCCTCCTGGCCCTCCTGGTCCCCCTGGGCCTCACGTTCCAGCAGGCGGGCCCCCTCGTCCTCCACCAGGACCCGCTCCATGTCCACCTCGGCGCCCTCGTTCCCCGTCAGGGCGGCGGCATCCAGGTCCTGGGGCGTCCACTTGGGGCCGTGGTGGAAGGCCATGCCCCTCGGCCAGGCCGGCTGCACCTCCCCTGGCAGCCCGATCGGCGGAAGGAGGTGGTTACTTCTATATGCGTTAGTGTTTGTTCGAGTCGAAGGCGGGGCTGGACACCCTCCCGGCGGTCACAGCGGGAGTGCTGCGTGCAAGCGTCCCGTCAGCCCCAGGGCGCGGTGGGCGCCTTGGTACAGCGGGGCCCAACACACCCAGGAACTTGTGAGAGCGGGGCTGCCGGGGATGTGATTGCGTGGTGGGTCTTCAGGAACGTGTTTGCATGGTGGGTGATTTTTTGCCACCCTCTGAATCGCGTCATGAGTCGAAGCGTGCCCGGCGCGGGAAAACCGGGGGTGTGTACGGGCATGAGCAGCTACCCCCCACTTCCAATTTCCTGCAGGCCACTCGTTCCCTTCCCCTGGGGCCCCTCCCCCTTTTCAGGACTAAAAAGGCCTCCTGTCGTGTTCACATGGCCCGCCAAGCGTCTCAGTACATTGATCCATGGGGTCAATCACAAGTCCTGGCGACGGCTCACGCAAAGCAGGGCAGGCAGGCACCGGCGGGCCGGCGGCGCAGCGTGTGCGGCGTGGGCGGGCGCGAGGCCTGGCACACGCACGGCGTGCGTCACGCCCCGACCCCGCGCCCACCGCTCCTCTGCATTCACCTGCGGCCCACGGCCCAGACGCGGATGACGCCGTCGGTGTAGCCCGAGTAGAGGGTGGCGCCATCGGCGGACCAGGCCAGGGACACGGGCTTGGGCTGCTTGGCGGCCTCCACGCCCTCCAGCGGCGCGTCCAGGTCGTCCACCACCGACTTGTACTCCAGGTCCCAGATCTTGATGCCGCGGTCGGTGGCGGCGCAGAGCCAGTAGCGGTTGGGGGAGAAGACCAGGGCGTTGATGACGTTGCCGGCGTCCAGGGAGTAGAGGTGCTTGCCCACGGACAGGTCCCACAGCATGGCCACGCCGTCCTTGCCGCCCGAGGCGCAGAGCGAGCCGTCGGGCGAGACGGTGACGGAGTTGATGTAGCCGCGGTGGCCGGACAGGGTGTCGCGCAGCTTGCAGTCCTGCAGGTTCCACACCTTGACCGTCTTGTCCCAGGAGGCCGACACGATGAGCGGCGGCTTGGACACAGGGGACAGACGCACGCAGGACACCCACTCGGTGTGCCCCGCGGGCTCGGCCACGGTGAACTTGCACTCCGCCAGCGTGTTCCACAGCTTGATAGACTTGTCGCGGGAGCCGGACAGGATCTGGCGGTTGTCGGCCGAGATGGCGACGGACAGCACGTCCTTGGTGTGGCCCAGGAAGCGGCGGGTGGTGGTGCCCTTGTTCAGGTCCCACAGGCGCATGGTCCCGTCCCAGGATCCGGACAGGGCGTACTGGGCATCGGAGGACAGCACAACGTCCTGGACGTAGTGGGAGTGGCCGCGCAGGGAGCGGCGGGCGAAGCCGTAGTCCTCCTTCTCGCCGCGGGTCAGGGTCCACACGATCACCGACTTGTCGCTGCGATGGAGAGGGGGTGGGGAGTGAGGGTGAGGATTTTACGCAATCTGGATGTTAATCAGGCGCCTGAGGCCGCCTCACGCAAGGCAGGGATCGGGGGCAGTGCCGGCAGCCGCAGGGCGGGCCGGAGGGGCGCCTCCCCCCCTGATGCTGTCAATTCCCCTCTTCCCCATCGGCGAGGACACTTGGGTGCATAAATTACACAATCCAAGCATTGCTCTCTGCCCCGCGCACCGGGAGCTGGTCACCAGCAGGTCGGAGTTGGGGTCCAGGGGGGGGGCGATGGCGGTCACCCAGCCCCTGTGGCCGTGCAGCTCACCGCGGAGGGTAAGAGACTCAGCCATGATGATAGATGGTTTGTGAAAGAGGGGGATTCCGGTGAGAGAGGTGGCTATCAAGCAGGAAGGGCCCGGCCCCCTCCGCAGCCAGCAGGCTTCCGGGGTCGAAAATAGGGATGTTGTAATTACAGCACTGTCTGTGGCAGGCTAGCTGCAGCACAGCATGTGCATCAACTCGTCCCTGCATGGATGTTACCAGCTCATGCAGCAATCTCAATGGCGTTTACAAAGTGATTTCAAAGTAATGGGATTGGTACTGTCCGTCGAAAAGATGACTTTTTGATTCTACACTGGCTTGGAAGAAGGGCCAAAGAATGCGGTTGCCTGGGAGAAGTCGCAGGTGATAATTGCCAGAAGCCATGGATCGCTGATGAAGAATTGGACTGCATAATAGTCTGCGTGGGGGAAGGCCACACGGCCCTCAACGCTTCACCCCCACTCCGGCCCAGAGCATCAGACCGCCGCCTGCCACTCGCCCGGGACGAGGTTGCGCGGCAGCGGGTGCCGCCCCAGGTGGAACCTGCCCAGGACGTTGGTGGTCCAGGCCACGAGGAGGCCCATGGCGGCGCAGAACATGCCCGTCACCCCCGCCACGGCGGCCAGGGAGGTTGAGGAGAAGGTGGAGACGATGCCGTCGATGGCCCCAACGCAGGCCAGCCCGCCCACCACCAGCGTGGCCAAGCCACACAGCGCGCCCAGCGCGGCCGCCACCCCCCGGACCACCTTCAGGCGCTGCTCCGCGGTGCGGCAGCTCTCGCAGCGCGAGCAGTGCGACTCCCAGTGGTCCAGCAGCTGGGTTTGACCCAGGCGGGGGCCCGCCCGTGCCAGCCAGCCCTCGTCCTGGGCTCCGAAGGGCCCGCCCCCAGCCATTTTCTGGATCCAGGTCCGGAAGGCGGTGACCAGGGCGTCGGAGGCACCGGGCATGTGGTACACCGTGGGGGTGGGGGGGGGGTGGGGGGGGGTGAGGGGCTGTTGATGGCGCGCCGGGGTCGCCAGGGCAAGCCCTCATGTTGTCAAGGGGCACTCCCCCTGGGCTGCCCGTCCGTTCTGCCTGCCAGGAGGTCTCCATCGTCTCACTGGCCCGCACAGCCCACACAAACTCCCTCCCCCGACTCCCAGACATGCCCCCTCCAAAACACCCCCACCTGGCCCGGCGGCTTGGTGGCCAGTCCCGCCTTGACCACCTTCTCCTCCTGCAGGTGCAGGAAGACGACATCGTCGTCCAGAATCTTCAGCGCATCTAGGTGCGTGGCGAAGCGCGGCACCAGGCCCATGACCGCGGGGATGACCCGGTTCTTGAACTTGAAGGGCTGGCGCACGATGGCGCGGCACCGCCCCGGCGCGATGGGCACGGCGTAGACGGCGGTGATGTTGGAGAAGCCGCGCGTCTCCTGCGCCTCGATGGTGTGGCGCATGAGGTTGGGCCCCCGCCACTCAGTGGCCTGCGGCCCCAGCGCGCCCCGGCGCGGCCCACTGGGCCACAGGCCGCGGAAGCCGGCCTCGCTGCGCTCGGTGACCGCCAGGTCGGCGAAGCTGCCGCTGCTGGTGCGCTTGGAGACGGTGGCGTGGTGGGTGAAGGGCACATGCCCCGCGTCGATCACATTCTCGATCAGGGTGACCGCGTCGTAGGGCAGGTCGCGCCACATGTCGCCAAAGGCCAGCCAGCCGCCCTCGTCCAGCTCCGGCAGCGTGGGCGGCAGCGCGGCGGCCGCGCGCGCGTCGCCCGCGGGGCGCAGCATGACCCAGACCAGGCCCTGGGCGGCGCGGCAGGCGTAGGAGCGGGCGCAGGCGCGGGGCGAGGCGGGGTCGCCACCCTGCGGGATCAGGGTGCAGGCGCCGTCGCCGCGGAACTGCCAGCCGTGGTAGGCGCACTGCAGCGTGCCGTCGGGGGCCACACGCCCCTCGCTCAGCGGGACCAGGCGGTGGGGGCAGGAGTCCGCCAGGCACTGGTACTCGCCCGCCCCGTCGCGCCACAGCACGATGGGCTCCTCCAGCAGCGTGAAGGGGTAGGGCGCGCTGCCAATGTCCCTGGGAGGGGTTCACGCGCGAGCAGGGCGTAGGGGCCTCCGGGGTGGGAGGCGAGCGGTTCTGTGGTGGCCATGCAAGCTGCCTACCAGAGAAACCCCCAGCACCCTCCTCCCAGCCATAATGCTCGACATGATGCTGCACCAGGGTGTCCCGAAGGCAGATCGCTACAGCTACCAACAGCCATGTTCCCAGGCACCCGCGCAAGTCAACAAGTGGCTCACTTGGTGAAGGCGATGGGGTACCAGTGGTCCTTCCAGTCGAAGGAGGAAGCTCTAGACACTTCCACTGGAGAGTCCAGGGCTGGGGGTGGCCTCTCCACGACCTGTGGGATGTCTGCTGTCGTCGCAACCGTCACGCGCCTGGTCCTCCCCATGTGCCGTCCACATTCCTCCGGCCCTCGAGGGGCCCATGGCCTGCGGGCATGACGGGGAATGGGACTTCAAAAGGATTCTTCAGGCTTCAGATCTCCCAGGATGCTGCCTCTGCATGCTCGCACCCTCTCAGTGATCGAGAGCCCTGCGCCACTGCGGCTCTGGGCCTGGTGGAGAGGGGCCAGACTACAGCAGATACACTCGCATGGCCTTGGAGCTTCATCGCGTTCAATCTCAGAATGATGATGTCGAGAGTTGTTTTTGATTTGGAGCCATTGACGGCTGTCTGGTCAAGCAGGGTGCTGTTTTGGTCTCGCTTCATGCGCGTGATTTGGGAGACGCCCCCCCCTTTCTAGAGTTCACGGGCCCGCAGGGTGGTTTGGGAAACCCTCCGGCCTGCTAACCATTTTCACCATCGCCTAGAAATACGTAACGAGTAGTCTGTCGACATCCAATTTGGGGGAACGGGCGAAGAGAGTCGAGGAGCCATGGCGTACAACTGGCGCGCAGCAGAGAAGTGGCGCCAGCACCCCTTGCTCACCGGCAACCAGAGGGTGATGATGCCCGGATTGGGCATCGGCATCGCGGCATTCGCGGTGTACGTCGCCTTCGACAAGCTCACGGGGTCCAGCAAGGCTGGCCACCACTGAGGCGAGACAGCAGGAGCGGGAGGTGCAGGGATCGAGCACGCTGAGGAGTTCCTCACGCCATGCTGGCAGGGAGTCAGGCTTTCGTAGCTCATTGTGGAGCTCAAGATGTCGCAGCCATGCCTCTGCTTCCTGGTCAATTACCATGTCTGTGCTCCTCTGCCGCAACCAATCCCAGGGCATTCCCTCTTTTCACCCACTAGTGGCTGCGGTTGCACCAGTGCATGAATCAGTCGCGTTTCAGTTCCAGGGTCTGCACCTCCACGCCGTCCTTGGTCATAATGAGGATCTCCACGTCGTCGCCCTGTAATGGCAAGCAAACCGGGCAGTTGCTGTGAACTCCAGGCGGGCAGGTCTGACGTGATAATGCATCCCATCCCCATTCCCAGCCATTCGCACCGTGTAGATGTCACGCTCGCCAGCAGATGTGAAGGCGGACTTAACCAGGTCGATGGCGACCTCCAGAGGGAGCGAGCTCAACCATGGCTGCAGGGTTTGGGGGGGATGGATCAGCTCACAGCGGCCCCTTCAATCAATAACAGAAAAAGCAAGGCACCAAGTGTGCCATGGAGGCAGCTTAGTTCCTCAAAAACAGCCCCTCCAGAGCACACAACGCACGACGGCATGTTTCCCCTGATCTAGCAAGCTCGCCAAGCATCACGACTATCCCCTGCAAAGTTCCCAGAACCCACCCGCCCAGCACCTGTGGTGGCAAGAGCAGGGGCGACGCCGCCTTCAACTGGCTGTCCAGCACCGGCTGCATCAGCTCCTTCCCTGATCCCTGGCACCCGTAGCCCACACGCTCGTAGGAGCCGATGGCATCGTAGGTGTACACCGCGCCCCTCCCTGCATGGGTGGAGGATGAGAGCTCCACGCGAATCGGAGGGGATGGGCAGCAGTGGCATGCAAACCGGACTGCTGTCATTGAGTCGGCTGGTTGCAAATGACAGCCCCTCCGCAAGCGAGCAGTGATAGCCCATCGTTCCAACAGCATCTTCACAGCGACTCAGCTTTCCCTGAGCCCTCCCGGCGCACCCTCCTCATCCAGGCCCGCGCAGATGTTGAAGGTGTAATACGGGAAGAAGCGCTTGTAGTAGAGGGTGTTGGACAGCAGCTGCGCCATGGCAGGGCAGCTCATGGGCTTGCGGTGGTTGAAGGCATACATGACGTGCCGGGAGTGCAGCGTCTTGTGCAGCGCATCGCGGTCCGCCTGCATGCCTGCCGAGGCGATGACCACCTTTGGGGACCTGTCGGGAGGGGGGGTTGGGGGAGGGGTTTGATCCCTGCAACCACTTGGAATGCCAGTGCACCACTGTGCACAGGACTCAGGGATGGCCAAGGCGGGCTGCCCTGCTGCACGCACAGGCTGAGGATCTTTGACTGGTCGCGGGTGAGGATGGAGTAGCCGGTGGACAGACGCTTGCTGCCTCCCACGATGCAGTAGTCGTTGCCTGCGACCGCCACCACCGTGCCACCGTTGTCGTCATATCTAACGGGCACAGGAAGGAATTGGTGGGATGAGACGCGGGGGGGATGGTGGGGATACAACCCTGTGTGGATCACCGTGCTCCAGGACTCACGGGGACCAAGACGCATGCTCTTTCACTGCCGCCCCTGCAGCAGGAATGCTAGCTTTGAGAGGGATGGCGTGCGCCATAGATCCCTCCAGGCGCAGGGTATTGGGCTCGCCTGCGTCGGATCAGTTCCTTCGGTGCGCGTTCGGCCGCGACTCAAAGGGTGGAGCGTCAGCTGATTCTCTTGACAGGACGCAATGAGATGTACACAAGCGATGGAATGGTGTGACGATGCGCAGGATCCAGTCCGGCGATGTGAGTGTCGAGGTGGTGATCATGCGGAGCATGCTTCCCAGCAGCTTTTGGAGTGTCATGGCGGCAGGTGATCAGGTGGAAGTGGAGTCCTGCCCTTTCTCCAACGTCCACGCCGCCTTCCCCGGGATGTAAGGATACCAAGTGCCTGTCACGAGGTCCCTCTCCCTAGGTTGGTCAAGGCGGGAGAGCTGCAGCTGTAAGACGGCCCCCCCCTCGGCCAGCCGACCCACAGTCAACCAGAGCACTGGCTCCAGGGCAGCGGTGTTCCTGCAGGGCGGCCCCAGGAGGGGCTTGAATTCCAGAAGAGAGCAAGCAGCGTCAGTGCGCGGCGGCCTCGCTGGCCCCCCACCCATCCACAGACGCACTTGCTCTCAGAGGCCGGGAGCATGAATCCCGCTTCCATCGGCAGCCTGCCCTCCGTCATCACCACGATCTTCCCCCTGGCGGGCAGCGCACGCGGCTCCCCTCCACCAGCTCCCGCCTGCAGCACCATGACCTGCCGCCGCCCACGCTGCCCCTCGCTGGGCTGGACCTCCTGGCAGGGTTCGTCATTGGCCACGTAATCATACGTGGCCCACCACCCCCATGCGCTCTCTTTGGCCAGGCGGTACACCTCCAGCCTGACACTCAGCTTGCCCGCCGGACAGGTGTTTCCCTGCGGTAGGGGTACGCCACGAGGTAGTGCTCTGGAGGCGCTCTGGTTGGGATGTTTGGGGGCGCAGCCCGGCACCTGCATAGCACATCTATTACTCTGTCACCTGTGCACCCCAAGCACCCCGCGCCAATCACGTGACAACACCCACCTGGACCCCTGTAGCCTCCTGCGCCTCGCACGCCGCCTCCAGCGCCGCCGCCAGGGTGGGCAGACGCTGCCTCAGCGCCTCGCCGGCCGCCGGACACAGCACATGGGCACGGGCGGCGCGGCGCGCCGCCCCCCATTCGGCGCCCCTCAATGTTGCCGCCACGCTCGCTCGGCTCAGGGGGGCGATGCGCGGCGCGGCGCGTGCTGCCGCCGCCCGCCCCGTCCCCGGCGCCCCGCCCCAGGTGTCCAGCGCTGCGAGGAAAGCGTGGAGCGGGCGGAGGACCGGCATCTGGGTCAGCACGCCGTTGCCCAGCGGCGGGCCCAGCGCGCACAGCGCGGCGCGGCGCGTCGGGGTCGCGTCCAGCCGCGCCCGCACGCCCTCGTCCCGTACCGCGCCGTGGACGGTCAGCCAGGCCTGGACCTCCTGGGGCAGCAGCGCGCGGCGGTTGGGTGGCGGGACCGGGCGCCATGCGCCGTCCTGGAAAGCGCGGCCGGAGGGCGCGTCGCGCCATGGCGGTGCCAGCAGCAGGCGGCAGGCCAGGTGCAGGAGGTCCAGGGTGTCCATCAGGTGCGTGAGCAGGCTGGGCGCACTCTGACGCCCATGGTCAACCAGGTACCTGGGGGCGGTTGTGTGAAGGGGGTTGGGATGTCGAGCGGTCTGGCACCGGGGCGCCCTTTGATGAGACATGTGAGAGAGTGGGGATGCAAACCCTACCACGACGGTCTGCAATCGACGTGGTGCGGGGCATTGTGCACCGGATGGGGAATGATCACAGTTGCTTTTGACCCCATTAGACTGTCCTGGGCTTGCTTCCAACCCTACGCAGCCCTGCACAATCCTCCACCTGACGATGGTGATGGCATAGGTGGCCAGCTGCAACCCTGCCAAGTCCAGACCAGCGGCAGTCTCCTTGGTCGGTCCGTCTGTAGCCTGATCCTCGCCGCCCTTGCCTTCACCAAGACCCTGGGCGTCCACCAGTCTGCGCACACACCAGCCGCCCAGTTCCAGGAGTAGATCCTCGTCGGAGTCCTCCAAGACTTTCTGAGCCAGAGCACGGCAGAGCATGTGTCAGGGAGGACGCGGGCCAGTTGCTGGCTGCTCCCTGGATCAAACCCTCGCCCGCCCCACCTCGTGGAAGAATGCGACCTCCAGCAGGGCTGCCAGTACTCCAGAGTGGGACTGCAGGCTGTAAAGGGCGATATTTACAGTGCTGCACTCGCTTGCCTGAGCCTCCTCGAGCAGAGAAGGCAGGACATGAGTGCACCATGCCTGTTGAGGCATGGGCGGGAGGAGTTTGATGCAGAGGCTGCGGGTGCGAGCCGATGGAAGACCCATGCAGCGGTTGAGTTCAAGTTGATGCCAATACATTTCAGAAGTTGCGCCCTCGTCATCTGTCAGTATGACAGAATGCCCCTCGCCAGTTCTCACAGCTCCTCGCGATCATACCTCATGGCTTAGGAGGTCGGTGATCAGCACATCCATCTTCCCTGAGACGTGGAGGAGGTCCACCACCCACTCATCCTCCTGGCACCTAGCCTGGAGCTGGGCCATGGTAGTGAGGCGTTGAAGAGCATCGTGTTGTCGAGTCCAGGATGGTGAACCGATCTGCATGATGGGCTAGGATCGCATTGGCGGCGCTACGATTGGCTCGACGCTCTCGGCGACGCATGAATGAATGCATGATCGGACCTCCTTCGCGAATCAAGAACCAGTTCTGTCACCTGCGTCACATCTATGGCTCCTAGATCACGGATCAGCTGTCGTGCCTCGCTGATCTCCATTGCTACGGGAGACCGACGTCTACGATTGATGGGCCTCGTCTCGTCACAGAGGCAGTAAGGTATCTCGGAAGATCCTTACTGGCAGCATCACTGATGAGCTAAGCATACTGTCATGAACTTGAGTTTCCATGGAGATTGTCTTGGATCACTTGTTCCGTCAAGGTCTTCACGGGGAATCGCAAGAAAACCATCCTAGTCAACCCCGCATTCATCGCGCGCGTGCATCCCGGCGAGCACTTCAGACACAGTCAGTGTCGACGATTCCCGGTGAAAATGTGCATGCAGAGCTTAGCTTTAAGCTAACCAATCATGCGCACATAACCGACCAGCGTTTGCACAACATCTGCCACCTTTTCCCAGCAACCACCCTTCCCACTTCACTGTGCTATCGGCTTACAGTGGGAGCTTGGCCACTTCGCGACTACCATATTCACAATTCTTTTAGATAATCTCTGGCCTCTTCTGCTATCGCGAGGAGCTACCTGAAGATCCCAGGGCCCATAGCACGTCGCTGAGCATGGCACCGCACCGACCGCCCCCGCGCGAGCCCGCCCAGCAGCAGCAGCAGCAGCAGCAGCAGCCATGGGGATATGGTTTCTCCCCCGGAGTCATGAGCTGCATGCCGGCCGGGATGCAGTTCCGACCCCTGCAGCCCACCCATGCCCAGGCAGCACTGTTTGTCCACCAGCAGCAGGCACAGCAGGCACAGCTGGCGCAGCAGCACATGCAGCAGCAGCGTGCCTTCATGGCAGGTCCGCCCCCGGGGGCATACATGATGCCGCAGGCTCCCATGATGGCAATGAGTGCGCCCTGGGGGATGCGGCCCCTCCAGCCGCCGCCTCCACCCCCGTCGATGCTCACGCCTGGGCCAAGGCCGCAGCACCACCTGGTATCGGCCCCGCCGCACAAGCGACAGAAGAAGAGCAAGGACAAGGTGGGGCGCCGGGAGTGAGTGGCTTCTCAGAGCGCTGGGTGTCTGCTCCGAAGGCGCCCGTGTTTTTGTGCACTGTGCATCTGGCAGGGAGCATGGCCGCTGGTGCTCCCCACTCAGGGAGGAAGCAGGTGCTGAACAGTGTGCGCATGCCCTCCACCATAGGTGCTGCCCTTGGAGCCCATGACGGAGGAGCCTGCGGTGCGTGAGCCCAGAACAGCAGCAGAGAAGGAGGAGATTGAACAGTGAGCAGGGTTGAAAGACCCCATCAGGGGGAAATGCTGTGGAGGCTGAAGCTATGCGGGTTTCCCTTTTCAAAAAGGATGTTTCGGGATCTCTGCTGACTCTTCGACCAGCACTCATGTTTTTCCGATCCTCCCTGCCCGGCAGGTGGAAAGCGGAGCGGAGAAAACACTTCCCCACCCGCGAGAACCTGGCCAAGCGGGAGGCGGAGGGGAAGGCGCGTGCCGAGCGCGGGGAGCAAGAGCTGCAGCGGTGAGGCGGCGGCGGGGGCCACGGTCGGGGCTGGCGGGAGCTGGCCTGGCTCTGGCTACAAGGAAGCATGGCCTGTGCAGCGCCGCACTGGTCGATGTGACCCACGCAGGCATGTGCTCAGGAATGGCATGGAATTTCATCCAAATGATTTCCCCTCCTCTACACCACCGAGCACACAGGCAGGAAAGGGCTGCCCGTTTGCAGGAGATCCTGCTCAAGCAGCGCGAGCTGGGGGTCGACAAGCTGGCAGGGACCCAGGATCTGATGGCCGAGCTCGGGGGCCATGGCAGGGCGCCGGGAGACCGAGGCAGGGCCAGGGGCAGGGGCAGGGGTCCAATGTCCAGGCGGCCCCACCCTGGGCAGGCGCGGGAGGAGCGGGAGGGACCCAGCGGCCCCCCTACGGAGCCTGGATCTAAAGTTGAGACTGCACAGGGGCTCGCCGGGCTCGTAGGGTACGACAGCGACTCGCTGGCGAGTGGGCAGCCGGAGGAGAGGGGCCGCGGCGAGGCGGCTGGGTCAGGCCCGAGCGCGGTTGAGGAGCGGTACCGGCGGGAGCGGGAGCAATACCAGCGGCAGCAGGAGGACTTCCAGCGGCGACGAGGGATGGGAGGGGGTCGTCGAGGCACGGCTCTGCCCGGCGGGAGGGGCGGGCGAGGTGGAAGGACTGGTCGGGGGGGTGTTCCCTCGCGCCAGCCGCCGGCGCCACGACTGGGCAAGCCAAGCCTGCTCCACAAGCTGTTTGCCAAGGAGATCAGGTTGGGGGGGTTGGTATGGTGGTGACCCTGGAACATCCGTGCTGGTGAATGTGCTGTTAGCATTTCCATGTTTGTTCAGCTGCTCATGAATGGTGATAAGGAAGGGGCTCGTGTGCCTCGCAGAATGCCGACCCTTTCAGTTATGTTTCCTTTGCCCACCCTGTGAACGCGTAGGCAGGATCACAGCTACGTGTTGCAAGCCTTCAGATTCTTCGTGCAGAACGAATTTCTAGCGGACTGGGTGAGCGGCAAGACGGATCTCATCTTTCCCGAGGCCCCCAAGCCAGGTGTGGTGAGGGAGGCTTGACATGCTTCCGGGGTGCTGGGATGAGGGAGTTTTCATCAGTGCCAGGTCAAGTCAGAGGCATTGGTTCTTTTGCTGCTCAGTCCTTCAGCTCCAGATCCTGAGGTGCCACGACGAAGGTGAATATGCTTTGCGCCCAAAAGCTGCTGCTTTGATCATGCCACTCCCTACATAATTTTCGGACCGCAGAGCCTGCCAAGCAAATCTCGAGCATTCTCGAGGAGGCAGAGGCTGATGATGACGACCTGGTTACCGACATCTCTGGCACCGAGGCTTCTGGGGAGGAGGATGGCGAGGAGGATGTGAGTGTGATGGCACTGACACCGAGTTCCTCATGACTGACTGCCCGACTGGGTTCCTGACACCATGCGAGGTGTGGATAGCTGCCTCAGGCCTTCCTGGGTCAGTACTGGGTGTTCAGGCAGCAAGGGTGACGGAGCTGACAGGGATTGGGACGACATTCAGCCTCAACAGCAAGGTGCAATGCTTCAGTGGCATGTCCTTGGCCTGGGCTGCAGTATCTCCCAGGATAGCTGGGCCCGAGAAATGGGCACAAACTCTGCCGACCCTGGCAGCCGCCAGCTGGCGCCGCGCGACCTGTTCAACCTCTCCTCCAGACCACCAGGGTGGCTGGCCTCCACCTGCACAAGGGGAAGAAGCAGGGGAGGCTTGGGCACACTCGCGGTGATCCACAGTCAACCCCTCAAGTTCCCACCGCCAGGCGAAGAGGCAGGTCACCGCATCGGATGCAAACACACCCATTCCCACACACCGCCGCATCGGCGTGGTGGACCACCTCCACTCCGCTTGGGTGCTGTATTTGCCAGGTGTCGACCTCGCTGTACCAGTACTGCTCGGTGCCTGGGGCGTGTGGGGGGTTCCAGGACAGTCAAGCCCATATCTTTGACAACCCACCATATGGCACCACCATGCAAGCAGAAGGGGTGCAAACCATGCCCCAAGTACGCATGTGAGGCCAGCCCTTGTGCTCCAAGACCGTGTGACCCACCATCCGGCAGCTGCCGATGGATGTCACCGTTGGAGAAGCGAGTCACAGTGCAGCCCTGCTCAGGGTCCGAAGTCGCTGCCTGCGTCCATTTCCCATATGAGGTTTGAGACAGTGGTCTGCAATCAGCTCCAGCAGTGGAATCTGCAGCGCAGTCATGGTGGCATCCTCTTGCAATCTCTGCGCGGCCAAATGCATGGGCAGGCCCACTGCCGCTGGGGGAGCGGTCGGTCACCCCCTCGTCCTGGCGCCAGGCAGGAGCGTGCGCCGGCTCGCAGATGGGATCAATCGCTGGGCCCTTCCCACCACCCTGCTGCCCTGTTGGGCTGCGGCCGCCCTCCGAGCCGCCCCTCCCCATCCCGCCCCCTCGGAAGGTGACACCCCGTCGGCTTGGCGAAGGGTCCACTCCTGAGTTCAGCGTTTCTGCTGCCAGACGCCCAGACCTTGCTGGCAGCACCGCCACCCCCTTGCAGGCCAGCCTCCCTCCATCAGGCACAGGGTTTGCTGCCATCTGGGAAGCACTGCAGCGGGCACACCGCGGGCTCTTTTGCTCCCTGCTCCCCACTTCTCGCATCATTTCCTCCAGGCGGGCACACCGATCCTGGAGGGCGAGGCGATTGGCAACTGACCCCTAGGCACCATGTGGGCATCGTGTACACCCTCCTCAGCAACCTGTTTCGGCCCAACCCCATCCCCGCGCACCTGCGCCTCGGCCAGCTGGCGCTTCAGCCGCTCCTCCACGAGGCGATGGCGCGCGTCCCGCGCCCTCCTTTCCTGGCGCTCCTTCTCCAGGACCTCCTGGGGGAGGGGGTGCGTGGCAAGCCTGCTCACAGAGTCTGGGCCGATGTCAGACGGAGATGCATGGCATCAGTAGCCCGACCGCTCTGGGCTTCGCTCACCCCCTCCTCCTCCACACCTGGATCTCTGCCACCTCGGCCTTCTGCCGCCTGGTGGGCAGCTTCAGCAGCGCCCGGCCCTGCTTCTCCAGCACACGCCGCTCTCGCTCCAGCCGCCGCATCTGCTCCGCCAGCTCAGCCTGGGCGGCCGCGTCGGCACTCGCCTGTGGACACAGGGTCTGGCGCTGCTGGAACGGAATGCAGGGCGCTGCCAGCGGCTTGACTCGAGATGATCGGCTCCACTCGCGCAGCCATGGTGTCCCCCCTCAGGACCCGCTTGCACCCACCTTGCGGGTTGCCCAAGCCACCTTCTCCCGCTCCATGAGGTCGGCCTCCTGGGACAGGCGCAGCCTGAGCTCCTGCACCCGCTGGCGTTCGGAGCCCAGCTGACGCACCTCCTGCGCCAGCTGTAGCAGTGTAGGGTGCTTCGTGCTCAGTGCAGGTTTCATCGTCAGAGTGACATGCCGGACGGCAATGGAGGTCGTGAGCATGGTGCACTGCCACACCGCTGGCTGACCTCCTGGACGAGGGTCTCAGACTCGGGGGTCGGGGGCCCAGCAAGAGGAGTCGGAGAGTTTCTGGCTGCATCCTGGTGGTCAGGCTGTGGGCGATGCAGATGGAAAGATGGGTACCCGACAGATGAAGCAACTGGACATCCTGTTGCTGGCATACAGATTGGAGTTGGAAGACTCGGTACGCACTGTTCTCGGAGATGCAACCATGTACATCAGTCACACACGCACCATTACCTCTCGCTGTACCTGTTTGTGAAAACCACCTTCTGTCTGCTGTGTGCACACTGCCTTGGGTGAGGCGTTCCTGGACAATGGCACACCATGGCTGTCTTGATGCTGATTACCAGTCCGCTTACTGCCGGCCTCTGACGGCGAGGGGGAGCCAAGGCGCTGCATGCCTTGTCTCTCATGCCTCTGTGTGTGCTGAACAGGAACATTGCCTTTCATGAACATGGCCCTGAGGAGCCATCACCAGCAATGCCATAAGGTATAATCGCGGGCAAATGCATGCTATTGCAAACTTTCATCCAAAAATTACGATCACTACAGCACCTGAACCCACCTGTCGATCCTCCTTCCGCGGTGGAGAGGGCAGCCCCAGGGAGATCTTGACAGTATGGCTCCTGCCGCTCAGGGACGGCGCATGATGCCGGACTAAAACATCACACTCCTCATCCGAAACCTCTTTCTGGGACGGCGAGTGTTCCTTCATCCCAGACCGACTCCCTCCTTGCATGCCCCGATCCATGCTCGTCCTCGGTGTGACTGACTTGGAGAAGTCCATGACATGGCCTCCTCTCGGGATGTACCGGCGGCCAGTGCGCACGGCATCCTGGCGTATGGCCCACCCATCTCCGCTACGTAGAAATCTTCGCGACTCAGATGGCTGTTCAAAGGTTGTCGTCGTGTGTGAGTGCGGCATGGCATCGGGCAAGTCGGTCGGTGGCTGCCGAGGACAGTCCCGTCCGGAGCAGCTCCGATCTGGCTGACTGCCAACTTCGATGCCCTGAGCCAGCTAGCACCGTTGTTTACAGCATGGATATGTTTTTTGATGTATCGAAGAAAGATCACTCGTATCTCATTAGTTAGAAATACACTCATGCCAAATGAAAAGCTCCACAGAGGTCAAGTCAAACAGAGTGAGGAAGGAAAGCAAGGATTCTCAGATCCGCTTCGGCGGAGGAGACGACGAAGTAGATGGCCAGTATGGTCGCGTCCCGTCTTAGACATACCAGCAAGATAGATATCGCCCCTCGTTCTCACCGGAGTGTTTGGCAGCAAATAAGGAAACCCAACTCAGCAAAGCGCGGCCGCAGGCTAGCCTGCCCCCGTGGGATCCCAGGTGGTTGCCGAGCATCTCGTCTCAGCACAGGCCAGCCCACCTCCCAGCCCAATTCTGTCTTCTGGCAGCAAGGTACACCATTGTGTCTAGCGAGGATCTGGGGTGCTTGTATTGCTGAGGGTCTGGATCTGGACAGCTGTTGAGATGCAGCGAGCCTTACCCGTACGCGGAGCTCAGTGGGCCACTTGGGGTCCCACCTTCGCGGACAGCCGCGCGTCTGTGGCAAGCACGGGGTCACGCCATCTCCACGCTTCGTTTCTCATAAATTGGGACATGCGCCGGGGCCCAGTTTCGCTGAGGCACCCCCGCGCTTGCCAGATCTGGGATGCGCCCAGCTGCCGAGCCAACACCTTTTTCTCCCGCCGCCCTCCCCTTGCAGGGCCCGGGCAACATGACTGTGCCGGAGGTCGTCATTCCCGAGGCCGCCTATGAGAACGTACGTACCGGGTGTGCCCCGGGGCTGCGGCAGCGCCCGGGGTGGTTTAACGGGGCCTTTGAACTGCCATCTTGGAGGCTTGTGTCGACTGCACCGCACCCATGCCTGTGCGTCCCCGCCCTCACCCGTCCTAACCCCCCCCCCCATCCCTTCCCCCGCAGGGCACCGGCTTCGCCAGGCAGGAGCCGTCCACGCCCAGTGGGCGCGCCCCGCTGGGCGGGGGCGAGACGCCCGGCTCCGTCCCGCGCAGCCCCGCTCTGGACGGCCTGGCGGACCACGCCGACCGCTTCCAGCTGGACGCCTTCAACCGCGCCCGCCTCTCCGGCTCCTCCGGCAAGGGCCTGGGCCGGCTGCTGGGCTTCGCGCGCAGCCCGCGCCCCGCCGCCGCGGCGGCGTCGCCCGGCACGCCCGAGCACCTGACGCTGTCCACCGACGACCTGCTGGTGTTCAGCGAGGAGGGGCTACCCACCTCCCTGCTCAAGCATGGCTCCGACAACGCGGGGCGTGCGGTGAAGATGTTCTCCTCCATCCTGACCTACCAGGGCGTGCACGGCGACGCGCTGCCCCCCCTGGCCGGGCTGGAGCTGATCCAGAAGCTGCTGCACCAGGGGCTGAAGCGCGCGGAGCTGCGCGACGAGCTCTACATGCAGCTTATCAAGCAGACGCGCGGCGGCCCGGGCGGCGCGCCCACCCTCCGCGCCTGGCAGCTGCTGCTGGTGGTGGCCGCCTCCATGCCCCCCGGCCGCGACTTCACGGGGCTGGTGTCAGAGTACGTGCACACCGCCAGCCGCGATGAGGCCGAGGACGAGGGCGTGCGCGCGCTGGCGGCCCGCACCTGGGCTGCGCTCAAGCGCACCACCAAGGCCGGCCAGCGCCGCACTCTGCCGGAGATGGCGGAGATCGATGCGCTGCTCAAAGGCGTGCGTGGCGCCACCGTGGTCTACTTCCTGGACGAGACCTTTGAGGAGGTGGCCTACGACATGAGCACCACCGTGGCAGAGGCCGTGGAGGCCATTGCCTCCCAGATCAAGCTGGAGCACTACCAGACCTTCAGCCTCTTCTCCGTGCACAAGGTGGGTGGGTGGGTGGGGTGAGGAGGGGTTTAGTGAGGAGGTGGTGGGAGGATGAGGTGGGAGGGGATGGAGCCACGGGCCTGTGCCAACTCTGCGGTGGCACCCCCATCCCTGCATCTGATGTTGCCCGGCCACGCCCATCTCAATGCCCCCTCCCCCCATCCCCTCGTACGCAATCTGCAGAGCAAGGGCGGGCAGCCGCAGGACACGGTGGGCGGCGGGGACGAGCAGGTGTCCCTGGACGACACGCGCTACATCGCCGACGTTCTGTTCGACTTCAAGGCGGCCAAGGCCAAGGAGGGCACCGCGCCGCGCCTGCTCTTCCGCAAGAAGATGTTCCGCGAGACCGACGAGGCCATCACCGAGCCGCGCTTCATGGCCCTGTCCTACATCCAGGCCCAGCACGACTACCTGGAGGGACAGTACCCCGTCATCCGCGACGACGCCGCGCAGATGGCGGCCCTGCAGGTGGG